AACCATCATTAAGCATGTATTAACCATCATTAACCATCATTAAGCATATATTAACCATCATTAACCATCATTAAGCATATATTAACCATCATTAACCATCATTAAGCATATATTAACCATCATTAACCATCATTAAGCATATATTAACCATCATTAACCATCATTAAGCATATATTAACCATCATTAACCATCATTAAGCATATATTAACCATCATTAACCATCATTAAGCATATATTAACCATCATTAACCATCATTAAGCATATATTAACCATCATTAACCATCATTAAGCATATATTAACCATCATTAACCATCATTAAGCATATATTAACCATCATTAACCATCATTAAGCATATATTAACCATCATTAACCATATATTAACCATCATTAACCATCATTAAGCATATATTAACCATCATTAACCATCATTAAGCATATATTAACCATCATTAACCATCATTAAGCATATATTAACCATCATTAACCATCATTAAGCATATATTAACCATCATTAACCATCATTAAGCATATATTAACCATCACTAACCATCATTAAGCATATATTAACCATCACTAACCATCATTAAGCATATATTAACCATCATTAACCATCATTAAGCATATATTAACCATCATTAACCATCATTAAGCATATATTAACCATCATTAACCATCATTAAGCATATATTAACCATCATTAACCATCATTAAGCATATATTAACCATCATTAACCATATATTAACCATCATTAACCATCATTAAGCATATATTAACCATCATTAACCATCATTAAGCATATATTAACCATCATTAACCATCATTAAGCATATATTAACCATCATTAACCATCATTAAGCATATATTAACCATCATTAACCATCATTAGTGGTTGTTATAGTTATAAACCAACTAGCTGGGTTGTTTATTTGCGTATCATACACAAACGTTGGTGAAAATTGTCTGGATCGATGGATGATTTCTAGTGACTTTGTTGTGGATTTACATGGATTTACCCAGCTAGAAAATGGTGGATCTTTCCATAGTTTGTTGTAAACGTTTACCAGAGGCTACTAGAAGGTTTGTTACCTGGAATGTTCCCGGGGAGCTGGCAACCAAACAGTACGGTTGAACATAGCTAGGCTACTTATGGTCGCCTCGAATTGTGATGTCACCGGCTTTTTGAAGCCTCGGTATCCAGATTAGACAGCACACGGTTAATTAAACTGACATACAAAAAGATGGTATGTGTCTGTATTTCTCAAGAATCCGTTTTTATGTGTATATTCACATGATAAAGTATGCTGACAGTATGCCTTCAGGTTCCGCGCAATAAACAAATCATTTTAGACTCTTTGTCCTGTTATCATCATGAATCATGGTCCTCATGGTGGTTCCCTAAAATAGGGGTACCCCCAACTGATCCATGATCCATTTTTGGGGACCTTTATTTCAGGAAACCCCCTTTTTTTGGAGGAAAAACATCTAGAGACACCCCCGTGTTTGATGGGACCCTGGCCGGTGTTAGGTGTCGATGCATGGTGTTTTTTCTGGCTCATAACTGGTCAAACAAATGTCTGGTTGGTGGTTTGGAACAATAACTGGTCAAAGAAATGTGATTTAACAAATCAACAACGGGAAGATGTTGGTTTATATGGTTTATATGGTTTATACTGTTTATTATATGGTTTATATAATATAATTAACATACCCCAATTAATGGTTTATGTGCCAACAAATACATGGACTCAAACCCGAAATGACAAGTACATACCGTAGATATGACACTTTATATGCTGCTGGTTGGTGGTTTGGAACATGGCTTTGATTTTTCCATTCAGTTGGGAATGTCATCATCCCAACTGACTTTCACTCCATGATTTTTCAGAGGGGTAGGCTCAACCACCAACCAGTGCTGTATTCCATCACCAATTGATGGCCCCAAATGACGGATGATACGTTGCATCCGCCGAGGATTGGGCAGTAGCATCACGACCAACGTGGGGCGACTCAAAGGCACTCAGTTGCTCTTCCTCAACAGCCACGCGGGTCGCTTGGCCAGCGGCTGGTACCCACGGTGCTTACGGTACTCGTGGTAAAAGGGTGGGGGAACACATAAATGGTGAAGAATTGTGATTGAATTGTGACTTCAAGCATCTAAAACTGCCTGGTGGTTTCAAACATGGCTTTTATTTTCCATTTCATATGGGATGTCATCCTTCCCATTGACTAATATGTTTCAGAGGGGTAGGTATACCACCAACCAGAAAATGATGAAAGTGAATGATTTAAGCCTGAAAAATTGAAAAAGTGAGATTTCACCATCAGAAATGGGGAGGTCACCAAAATATGCATAAACATATGGTGGATGGTTAAGAAATCCTGCACCACCTTGAATGGTTGAAACCCTGTAAATAATGGGATAAACAACCTATCAACTGGTGCAGGATTTCGCAACCATCCACAGCATGTCGTATGTGCATGTATATACATCTGGAGAGGTTGAGACAGAGATTCCCAGTTCAAGGGTCAGTCCATAAGTGGTGATCGCTGCTCATTTCTGATGGTTGAAGGATGATGATTAAAAAAAAAAAACTAGTGATTAATGGTGATTAATAGGATAATCAATCATTAATGGGATGATGATCTAAGAATTATAGTGATTAATAGTGATACTAGTGGCTAATAATAATTAATGTTGGTAAAACAATGCCATAAACAATGCCCCAGTCATCACCATGAATTTAGAGGTGGTATGGTGCCCCCATTCCCAGTCATGGGTGGTAAAAATGACATTGTTTCACCCACATTAATCAGGTATGTATTAATCACTATTAATCACTATTAGTCACTAGTAATCACCATTAATCACCATTAATCACCATTAGGTGCCACTTGAAGGTGTTAGCCACTTGGATGCAGTCACTATAGCCACTAGAGCGATGCTTGATCTACCTGCCGCTTTCGTGGTTTGCCTCCTCCAAATGCTCGTGATCCGTCCGTTGTACAAGAACCGCATCGTGATCGATCGGTGGCGTTGTCCGATCTCATCACATGGATGTCTACTCTCCAGTAATCGATTGGCCAGGAATCTAAGCCAATCGAATCCAGATTGATGTTCGATCCAAAGATGTGGATCCCTATGAAAAAAATGATGATTTTCCAAAGGTACCCATAGCGTATTGGCTGGTTTGATGAGTTCCTTTTGTGGCCCAGGCATCGTAGAGGGCGCGACTTGGGCTTCTTGGCGGATTTTATTGGGGATGATAGAGGCGATCGAAAGGTGGAAAATCCATGCTGATTTTCTGGGAGAAATCCCCAAACTCAGAGCTTTGAAGCCGGGAAAATCGAACACAACCTGCAGCTCGTTAGTAACAGCGAGGTGGAGGATCACCATTTTGAATAGGTATATACCATCTGGTTATGACTAACATAGCCATGGAAAATCACCATTTTCAAGTTCGGTAAACCATCTATTTCTATGGGCCATCTATACCATGGCGAACTGTTAGTCATAACCAGAGGGTAATTTTTCTTAATCCATCAATGGTGCGTGTGAAATGAGCAGCTTGGCTGACAATTTGGGGATCCCCTCATCCCCTCTCTTCATTCCCTAAACCGGCCTTCCACAAGCTTCCACTTGTGGGAGTAGAGGCAGACAACTGGGAATGTCTGAAAATTTACTGAAAATAACCCATAGGATCCATGTATGCTATATATATATATGGTAACATTTACCATCAATATACCCCCAATGTTAGCATATATATATATATGTATACCAGCACCATGGATCCTATGGGTAATTAGTCATCAATTGCTCATGGAAATTGCAATTTTCCCAGCTTGGATCGCAGATCATCAGTGGCTGTCGCTGTTTTTGCTCCAAGGGATCAAGATTTTCTCCCAATTCTGTGGTTTTGTGTGGTTTCATATGCTACTTTCCCTGAAAAAAACGCCATGATGATCCCACACGTCACCTTTTGCGGCGCAAAAAAAACGCCAAGGCTGGTGTACCAGTCCTGAACAAACTCTGTACCATGCACCAGATGAGAGAAGTGACCTACAACATGCAGGCCAGCTGGTGTGTGTCACGCATCAAACTACTAGGCATGGGTACCAAGTAGTACTACTTAAAAAGAGTGTGCTGTAAAGGTTGATTTTTTCAATGATATCAACCAGCCACCAGCCAAAACTTGACATTCTTTGCAGGCAATTTTATTGTTTGGCAGCCAGGATTTGAGATATTTTGAGATGATATTAATATATATCTGGGTCAATTTCATTACGACCGAACCCTGTTCTCCCGAGCCCTGGAAGTCATGGTGAATGTTGTGGGAAATCATCCCCAGCCATGGCCGAACTATTCAGGTTGGTGATTATCATTTACCCAGATCTACTTGGTGGCGAACTACCCACGAATCATAAGTGGGTTACTTCACCCCAATTATAAGTGGATTCACCCGCTCCTTATCCATCCCATGTTTTTATCACTGGGGTGAACTAACCCACTTATATACGAGCTGTGGGTAGTTCGCCACCAAGTATATATATATAAGTAAAATTGGATAAACATTGGCATGGAACATCATGGCACCATCAAATGACGAAGGGAACACGTTCTTCACCACTTTGGACTCGATCCTGAAAATACGGAATGGACCGTTTGTGGATCGAACATAAGATAAAACAGAAACATACAGAAACTAAGTATACTAAGTATACACAGTAAGCTCATGATGTATTCTACCTTTTAAGTGGGCTTACGGCTTACTTAGTTTCTGTGGGCAGCAACAAATACTTGGGGCCTGTGCCAAGGCCTGGGTCATCCCCTGGTTTTTCACATGGCTCTTAGCCTATGGCTAAACGTTAAATGGTGAGTAATGGTGAGTAATATCTATGGTTAATGGTGGTTAATGGTGAGTAATGGTTGTTAATGGTAAATATTAATGGTGATTAGCCGCAACGGTAAACGTTTACAGTTTGCGAAGTGGTTTACATCACCATCTGGTGAGAAGCAGCCACTGGTTTACCATAATCCGATGTTGTAGGTCCTATAATTGGTTTATGTATCTGAAATTACAATCTATGGTAAATCCACTATTTCAATGGGCCATGGCTTCAAGTTCGCAAACTGTGAGTCATTACCAGAGGGTATACCTTCTGGTACGTTTAACATTCTGCTCCGGAAAAAAACATCATATGTTTGCTGGTAAATCATCTATAAATGGGCTGTCTATGGAAAATCATATGTTCTCATAGATCGTCGTTGTTCATTGAAAAATCCTCTATTTTCATAGGGGCATCACATTTTTAAGCGCCATTCATCCCATGAGACCTCGTCTGAAAAGCGTGTCGAAAGTGTCCCCAATTCCAAGGGATCAGAAATCCCATGACGGATCCATGGTGCTGGTATATACCCATAGGATGACTAATATAGGAGCAATTGATCACTAATTACCCATAGGATCCATGGTGCTGGTATATATATATTATATTATATTATATTATATATATATATATGCTAACATAAAGGGGGTATATTGATGGTCAATGTTACCATATATAGCAGCACCATGGATCCGTCATGGGAATTATCATCATTCTCACTTTGAAAATTAAAGCAGCCACAGTTATGGTGGTTAATTTGTGATTGATGGTGATTAATTAATGGTGATTAATGATGATTCATGGTAATGATTAACGATTTGGTAGGTGCTATGTTGAACATGGCTTTGATTTTTCCATTCACTTGGGAATCGAAAATCATCCCAACTTACGAACTCACTCCATCATTGGAGGGCTAGGTCAACCAATTAGTCCATGATGTCCTTGTTCAGCCCCTTGAGATCTCGTCAGGTGTTTAGCCCTCTGCTCAATCAGATTCTGAATGCTCACACAGCCAGCGAGAGTCAGAACATTGCCAACTCCCTGGCCAAACAGATCTCGGATATGTTCCTTGGCAAGTTCGAAGCAATTTTTTATCCAACATCTCTTCACTATTCGAAGGCATTTGAAAGCCCGAAAGTATGCGATAATATGAAAATGTCAGATGTATTCATATATGTGATATACTTCCCATTGTTCAATGCATTCAGAAATTATCATTAGACGTCGATTTCAAGAAAAGTGTCCCTGCCTCAAATATTTGCATATCGGTTTGTCATGGTTTGCCCACAAGTGTCCCTCCAATCTGATGACCCAGTGGGGTTGACTGCTCTACTGTCCGGTGATTCTCAGAATCAAGCTGTTCTGGTTGGTGGTTTGGAACATGAATGGATTATGACTTTCCATTCAGTTGGGAATGGAAAATGTCATCCCACCTGACGAACTCACTCCATGATTTTCGGGCTATCTATAGGGCTCAACCACCAAGCAGTGTTTCTTGGATGGAGGAGTCTATCCAAAGACCACTGGTGACACCCGTGGGATCCGGAGTTTTCCCGAAAAATTGGATGGGCATGGCTTCGTTGTTTTCCAGGCGGCGTTTTTCGAAGTCTGGAATATCACAATATCCCCATGATATGCGTAGAAACTGCTCAAAAAAGTCCCCTGGTGATCTTCCCATTTTATTTAAAATCCAAAACCTTGGATGGGTAGTTCAATCATGTTTGATCCATTTTAGTCCTCTATGTTTTTTGGAATAAATGGGAGATGACCATCAAAATCGACAGCAAATGATTTTTTTTGTGGACTCCCAAAGATGGTTTCGGGTGAAGATGTTCCAAGCCAATCCATTGAATAAACCATCAAGAACTAATAACCATCCTATAAATACCATGGTTTTCATATGTTTTCATATGTTGTCATATGTTTTCACCATTAACCATGAACCATTCATCATTGTCGCCGGAGCTCAGGAGCGTTCCGTTGTTTTCCTCCATGGTCCGTGCCGTGCAGCTCTATGTCAATGACGCGGACGAATGCGATCCCGCTGCGAGCATGGGTAGCACAGGCATGAAATGTGGGGATTCAACGGAAATATCATGGGGAAGAATTGATCAATGGATGGGTTTTGTTGGGAAAATCTACACCGGAAACCATGGGTTTTTACCATCAAATAAATTGATTGGGGTTTCCTGTATTTTTTCCCATCCAATTCCATGAAGTATGGAAGAGTGGTGATTTAATGATGATTCTTGGTGATTAAGGGTGATTTTTCATGATGAATGATGGTGATTTAACTGATTTGTAAACATGAAAGATGGGGGATGTCATCCAATGAATGGTGAGACAACGGGATGATTTCATGCGAATTGAGCGGATATGTCATTGGAAGTTAATTCTAATGATAGATCATGATAGTTAAAAGCCCACGACTTGATAGTAAAAATGAAATGCTTGAATATACTTGAAAATTGGAGTTAACTCTAATATGGAGGTTTCCTAAAATAGGGGTACCTTTAAGTCATCATCCATTTTAATTCGATTTTCCATGAAATAAACATAAATAAACCATCCAGCGAGCTTGGGGTAGGCCCCATGACTATGGAACCCCCCAGTTTTTGGATCTTGAGATTTCGCCAACGAAAAAAAAGGGTCGAACAGAAATTGTGACCAAAAATAAAGACGCTATAGCTAGATGGGTACCCTCTCGTGAACTAACATAGCAATGGAAAATCACCATTTTTAATAGGAAAATCCACTATAAATGGCCATTTTCAATTGCTATGTTAGTTCACCAGAGGGTAAGTTATGGTAAGTTTGTAAACATGTGTCATGTCCACTTCTGGAATATTCCTATATATTAACTGCTTGGTGGTTTCAAACATGTTTTTATTGTCCATTTCATATATGGGATGTCATCCTTCCCATTGACGAACTCCATCATTTTTCAGAGGGGTAGGTCAACCAGCAAGCAGTGTTCAAAAAAACCTCATCATATGGGTCCATAACAAAATAGTTCTCAGCCATTTCTTCCGCGCAGATTGGCAAGATTTGCTTCTGAGAACAGATGAGCTTCTTCTGCTCGAGGAACAGGCGGATTTTTTGTCAAACTCCGATTGGATGGATGTATCTCCTTAGCCATTTAGCCCTTATAGGTTTTATATATGGTACTTGGTGGCTCATCCCACTTGGTGGGTTAGTTCACCCCAATTATAAGTGGATTAACCCGCTCCTTATCCCATGTTTTTATCACTGGGGTGAACTAACCCACAAAAACGAGCCGTGGGTAGTTCGCCACCAAGTAGGGCAATGTACCTGAAATGGCCATTGAATGCCCTTGAGGTCATCCCAGCAGTTTTTATGAGGGCTGATCCGAAATCACCAACTGGTGAAAATGAATGGAAAACTACCACGAAATCTTGCGCAATACATTAGAATCAATGGGAATTTCAGGATCCTAAAATGGATGTACCTACCATATATAAGGCCTATATAAGGGCTATGTAAGGGGATATCCCCCCAAAATATGGCCTTATATGGTACAGTACCTCCATTTTAGGATCCTGGAATTCCCATTGATAGATATTTTCACCCATATGCCCATGTGTTATGTTTTTGTTTTTCTCGGGAGAGTATCTAAGATTACGATGAAACAGGTGACGTTGGGATGCTCGGATGCTATTCCCGTGAAAAATGAAGGTTGAACCAACCCAAACTAGGATTTTACCATCCATTACTGGTTGGTGGTTTCAAACATTTGTTATTTTCCATAATATGTGGGATAATTCTTCCCATTGACTAATATTTTTCAAGATGGTTAAAACCACCAACCAGATTATATACTTCTGGATTTTTTCGAGTATGGGGCCATCCTCGGGCCATCCTCAAAATGTTCGTCTTATTTTCGCACCTGGAAATACAGTAGAAGGGCGGCCTGAGATATGATCAACATGACATCCCATGACATGAGAATTACCCTCTGGTAAACCAACATAAGTATGGAAAGATCCACCATTTTCTATGGGAAAACTCACTATAAATGGCCATGTTCAATAGCTATGTTAAATTACTAGAGGGTATCACATCTACAGCAGGGATTTCGAAGGATCCATTACAGACAAGAAATCTGGTTCTCTATGATGAAAACAGACCAATTGGTTCCTCCTCATGTACGTTGTTTTTTCTGTATCTACTCACAGTACGAACATCATGATTTGAATTGTCAACATTCACACAAGGTCGTGCCCCCCCAGTAATAAGTTGATTTATAAACGATAGTAAGTAATTATAGATATATCTACCATAAGCCATAATGAAATTGGAGTTATGTTCACCAACTGAACGCGATTCCGAACTGGGGCACCACCTTGCAGTACGTGCCTCGAAAAACAATAGGCAACAGGGTATCCGGGTATCCAAAAAAAATCCAGCGGATTGTCGGAATTTCCCCATCGCAATGGCCTCACTAATCCCATCCCCCGTATTAAACACACCCTTAGAAGCCATGGTAAAAAGTCGGGATGTTCCACATCATTGGAACTATTTAGGTTTGTTTTTTTGGTGACAAGGTTTCTGGGACTGACAATACACATTGTATTAAAGAAAGCCTTATCATTTGCTGGTTGGTGATTTGGAATATTTTTTTCCCCAATAGTTGGGATGATGATCCAATCTGACTTTCATATTTTTCAGGGGGGTTGGTATACCACCAACCAGATATATTATCAACCATCAAAAACTATCATCATTAACCATCATCATTAACCATCATCATTAACCATCATCATTAACCATCATCATGAACCATATATAGTGGATTTACCCATTGAATGGCTACTATATGGATTGACATGGATTGACCATATATTAACCATATATTAACCATATATTTACATTATTTACCACAGTGGGGGGGTTTTGATGACCAAAGTTCCAGGCGAACCAGTACTACTTGCAGATCGGCAACGCAGTGCGCGTTGCCACCAGCTCCTTGACGCAACAGTCCGAAAACGCGCCCGGCTATCGGCTGCTATCCATTGATCAATGGCCATTTCAGGAACCTAAAATGGAGGTACCTACCATATATAAGGCCTGTTTTTCAGGCCTAAATTTCAGGGGATATCCCCACAAAATATGGCCAAACATATGGTACTAACGTACCTCCATCAATTGGATCCGGTTAAATTCTCACTGAGTTGAGAAATCTCGGTGTGTTTTACATAGGGTTGCTGGATGGGTTGCTGGGGGTTGCTGAGATTATTGTTCTAGTTCGCCAGTGGATCAGCAACCCGAAAATTCCCTACGTTTAGCAATATAAGCACAAGTAAGTTTTTGAGGTGGTGCCCCAGTGAGCGATGAATCTCGCGTTCAGCAAAGGGGGCCACATAACTCCAATTTCACTATGGTTTATGGTAGATATAGCATGATATATCGAACTACTTATTTATAAACCAAGCAACATAACTGGGGGGGGGCACAACCTTGTACCCTCTGGTAATTTAACGTAGCTATTGGAAATTGGCATTTAAGGTTGATTTACCTATCCAAAATGGTGATTTTCCATAGCTATGTTAATTTACCAGAGGGTAACCAGCTAGAAATAACTCATTTTTTTAGATTTGGATGTAATCAAACATTGTGATTTCTGGGAAATTCCCACACTCAACGGAGGTTTTAATAGCTGGGTTTCCATCATCGATACTGGGGTCGGTATGTTCCAGCCAGGTTTGATTGCCGGAGGGTATCTTATGCCATAAATCTGGGTGAATTATAACGACCTCACTGTTCTCCCTCACTGGAATCATGGTTAATAAGGGGAATCATCCCAAAATGGCCTTATTTCAGGTTAGTGAAATATTATAATTTAGCCAGATAAATGGGTATAGTTCCCCCAAACATCGAGTTCGATCTTTTTGGATGTTTGACGAGGGACGGTGGGATCGGAGTCCGCAAAGTCAAGGGCAGCAGATGTTCACTACACATTCATCAAAGCACCATTCCAGGTGTGGAAGTAACCTGGAGTCAGCTGTGAATATCTGTGAATTGTGATCCATGGAATCCATGGCCCATAACCACAATACATGCCATTGCCAAAACGAGAGTCTTCGTTTCCACATAGCCCGGGGCCTGGTCATCCCGCCGATTTAGATCTCACGAATCCCATAATGAAAAAAGTCATATGTAGCCTCTGGTAATCAAACGTGGCTCGAAAATCCATCATTTTACTGTATAGATGTGGAAACGTGTTTTTCACGTGTTGAAACATCCAGTTTTAGTATGTTAACTACCCTCTGGTAAACTAACATAACTATAGAAAATCACCATTATTAATGGGACAATCCACTATAAATCACCATTTTCAATAGCTATGTTAAATTACCAGAGGGTAGTGGATTGTCCAGCTAGCCGCAGCTAGCCATGCTAACCCCTCCACGGAGTTCCCAGTTTGATGTTTGACGGAGGTTGTAACTGAAGAAAGGCTGCGCCAGGGATATGGATACCGTGTATATATATATCTGGTTGGTGGTGACTGGAACCATGGAATGGATTAAGTATGACTTTCCAGAAACAGTTGGGAATGTCATGTCATCCCAACTGACTTTCACTCCATGATTTTTCAGAGGGGTAGGTCAACCACCAACCAGGTATACGGTATACGTATATATATTTATCTATTGACAAATCAACGATTCGGTACACGAAGGTATCCTGGTGTCGATAGAAATGTGGGACGTTCTTGTCTTGTAAAACCTGCCTGGAAATCGGCATTTCATGATTAATCAATAATCAATAGTGATGTGTTTTATGGTGATTAACAAGAGTTTGGGCAGCTTGAAACAACCAACACAGGTTCGAACAGCAATCTAGACCAAGACGGCAAGTAGCTCAAAAAAACTGTCAGTTCGGTTTGGATGCCGGCATAAATACACAAGCATTGATCAAGAGGGAACGAGGGGAGCATGTTTGATGTGAGAACATGTAGGAGGGTGGTTGTTTCTTTGAAGAACCCGGTAACCTTTTTAGTTTCTCAAGCACCTATACACGCTCTTCATGCTGATGCTAAGCTCAGGGACGCAAGTTGCCACCATCTCCACCATGAAATCTGGGGATTTCATGGGGTAACCATCGTGGAGACCTTTTCTTGTGCAGTGAATACTGGCTGGGTGTCTCTGAAAATGGGGCGCAAAAACAGGCGGATTCATTTACCCTTATAGTGGATTTTTCCATTAAGAATTGTGATTTTCAATAGCTATGTTGGTTTACCAGAGGGTATCTACCCGGCCAAAAAACATCCATTTCTCTACGCAGCTATGGGTCTAGGCATCCAATCCGCCCCAAACCTTTGGATTTTTGACAGTCGCATCCAAATGTGAAGCGAAGAAGCCGAGAGCCAACCTTGGTTGACCTTGCTTTGGGACGTACAAATGAGAGTCAATCAATGAGTCTAGTATGTCAATCAATCTGTTGCAATTCTGCTACTAGAAATGGTGATATTTGGGTGATATGTTCTGTGGAACTTCCACATGATATTGGAGGGATGGGATGATGGGACTGCATAAGATCCTTATTTGTTGATGCTTAACCAAGATCCAATGTTAATGATATTGAAATTTACTAACCTTAATGAGAATATACTAACCATTACAAGAGCCATATTACTCCCCATCAATAGCCATTAGTAATTGTATATTTGTCACCATTAATGCCATTAATCACCATCAATAGCCAGTATTGGCCATCAATTGCCATTATTAGCCACCAGTAATCACCATTAATGTGGGTAAAACAGGAATAAAGCATCCCCCAAATCACCATAAATAGGTGGTTTAAACCATTCCCAGTCATGGCTGGTAACAATGACATTGTTTTCACCGCATTAATCCCGATCACCATTCAACTTCCACGTCACCTACGCTAAAACACACGCGACGCGACTGCCGCGACGCGACTTCCAGGTCAAGTGGGTCTGGTGGTGACTCTCAACACGATCCTCGACGCCATAGACAACTTGGTACAGGCCCGCCGGTCACGGCAGGTCACGGCAGGTCACGGCAGCTGCCCGAATGAAGCCTCGGTTGACCATTTTTCGGCGGGGTCCATAGCCATGGGGATACCCCAATAGCTGGATGGTTTATAACATGGAAACTCCTTGTTTATTTCATGGAAAATCCCAAACAACTTAAATGGATGATGACTAGGGGTACCCCCATGACAAAACGGAAACCTGCAAGTGTATGGGGATTTTCAGCCCCAGTGTTTTGTTGGTGAAGTGTTGCTGGTTTGCCTCAGAATGAGTTTCTTTGGGTACCAACACGACGTATATTGAAATTGAAATGTATCCCTCATTTCTGGACAAGTCAGTATATCATTCTTCATTGTTTACATCTCTATGTTTCATTGGCCAATCCCTTTTTTATTCACCATGCATTGACCGTTTTTTTTTCAATATCCCAAAGGGTTTGGACTTTCCCTGTCGCATTTTTTGCACATGAAAACGTACAGTACATCCGAACATTTCTGCTAAGGTGGCCATCATTGGTATTCCCATGTTATTGTTGATTACATTCATGGGATGCCATAAAATCTGGGTAAATTTCATCACGACCTCACTGTTCTCCCGAGCCCTGGAAATCATGGTTAGTAGGGGGAATCATCCCCAGCCGAACTATTCAGATTAGTGAATTATTATAATTTGCCCAGATAAAATCTCCATTGATACTTCGATCCAGGTCTTCTTCACCATGTGAAAAAACATGGGACGTGTCCCATGGTTGTTTTATCCCATCAAGCCCACGGACTGCGTTGAAATCCCATCCCATGACGGATCCTAACGGTGCTGCCATAGGTAACATGGATCCCATTAATCTACCCCAGTCATGTTAGCATTAATATACCAGCACCATGGATCCGTCATGGGCATTAGAACCCTCTGGTAATTTAACATAGCTATTGAAAATGGTGATTTATAGTGGATTTTCCCATTAAAAATTGTGATTTTCCATAGCTATGTTAGTTCCCAACACCATGGGTTTTCACGGCCAAGTCCCGCAACTGGCTGAGCCGTGCGTCTCGCCAGGGCAATAAAGGTCTTAACATCTTGGCGCCGCCCTCGCAAGCGGCCTTGGATGGAGCCTTGGACCTGGGACCAGATGGAAAGCCAACAGGCAAACCCAACGGGGAAATCTATACAATGTGAGGTTTATAACTCCAATAACTATGGTTTATGGTATTTATAGCTATAGTTACTAGGGCCTATAAACCAACTTATATTTTGGGGGCCTCACATTGTAGGAAAGCTTGGTGGCTCGGCCCAACCTTGGCTATTTTCATGGCTTAGCCTCTGGTTATGACTAACAGTTCGCCATGGTATAGATGGCCCATAGAAATAGATGATTTTCCCATTTATACCTCCATTTATAAGGGATTTTCTATGGCTATGTTAAATAACCGGAGAGTAATGGGTTAGTTCACTGGGCTAATGGGTTAGTTCACTCAGTTACTAAGCGGGATGAACCACCAAGTACCATAGGAAACCATAGGAAATCGCTTGGGAAACCATACGAAATTGCTTGGCGATCCCAGAAGGTGTTGTTTGTTTGTCAAAGGTTGATAAATGATCATCACCGAGCAGTAGGAGTGGTATAGAATGCTTATAATGGTGACATAATGGTCAAAGCTTCAAAAGAACAACAGAACCATAGGAAACCATCTGTGATGGTTAAATCCCATAAAATTCCTGATCCAAAGATCAAGAAAAATGTTCGATCCCTTGCCGCTCCATTTCCCGATTTTGGTCCCTACTTTCCAGTAATCAAACGTGGCTGGCTCCACAATGGCCCATTTAGTTCGATGGGTTTTCGCGAACGAAACCTCCATGGCTAGTGACTAGTGCGTTTTTTTTTTGCCAGCCATCATTCAAATCATGAAATTTCCAGCCATGTTTGATTATGAGAGTGTATTCGTTCAAATTAGCAATAATTATCCATGACTAGTACGCAGCAACAATCCTTCTATATCCTTCTTAATTCCCAAAAAAAATAGAAAAATCCCCATAGAATCCGCCTTGGATCATTGAAACGTCTCAGGGTTTCAGCAGTAAAAACCGCTTCAGAAAAAGGGTCCGATGGGTCCATTGGAACCCAGGGCTTCTGGCAGCCAAGAGCCAATGGGACGAGCTCCAACTTGCGTATGAGTTGGGCCCCCGGTCGAGCGGGTCGCAGCGAAGGCGTTCAGTTGCTTAAAAAAAGTGGCTGAACTCTATGGTGTTCAGGGTAAATATAACTATAGTTAATGGTGGTTATAGTCTGGTTGGTGGTTTCAAACATTTTTTATTTTCAAATGTTCCATTTCATATATGGGATGTCATCCTTCCCATTGATTAATATTGTTCAAGATGGATAAAACCACCAACCAGCTATTAATGGTGGTTATAATGGTTTATAAACCAACAAACATCACTGGTTTTCCCCATCCTGTGGCTTCAAGCCACAACAAATATGATCGAGGCTTCTTCGAAAGGGGGATCACCAAGTCACCATGAGTGATAAAATGTTCCATCTTCAATACTAAAATGGTCCAATGACTTGGAAGATTTGGGGGTACTTCCATTTTAGGAAACCTCCATATTGGGTTTAGTGTGTTGGCATTCAGAAATTGTCGCTTTCTTTTTCTGATATTTACCATACATATTTGAATCAACCGACTAAGGGCTAATTTAATCCTGTGACTTTTGGCTATTTTGGTGGCTATTGTTGACCTAACCATCTAAAAAAACACATTCTGAATGTTTATCACAAACCCCGTAGTTTTTCGCACTGAAGACGAACGAGATTTTTCTGGGTCATATTCAAGGAGACGAACGGAAGCAATGGCGCATTGGAGGATTTACGGATGAAAAGCCTTCAGAAAATCATCTATACATCTCCAACCTTGAATGGGTAGTTTAATCCTTTGGGGTTTTGTTCCTATGAATGGAAGATACAGGATGGTGCCCCCCAGTTATAAGTTGGTTTATAAACCCCATTAACTATAGCTATATCTGCCATAAATCATAGTTATGGGACTTATAAACCAACTTAGCTAATTATGGGGCACCACCTTGTAACCATAAAAGCAAGAGATGAGTTGTTTATGGACTATCAAAGATTGACGGTGATAAATGGATGCTTTTCCATCGCAGACGATCATCCAAATACGTCAAAACGGACCCCGTTCAATGGCTTGTACCGCAGCAACATGATTTATGCAGCTCTGCACTCCAAACGCCACCCTTCATGCTCCACGGCCCAAACTGCACACTCGAGACTTGACACTCCTCACTTCACACTCCACACGCTACCCTGACACTTCACACTCCACACTTCACACTATACTCTATGCTCTAAACTTCCCACTCTACACTCCGAACTCCTCACTTCACACCCCACACATTGGACGCGCTACACTACACGCAAGTCATGTGCGAGACTTCCCCGACTTTTCGCATGTCGGAGCTACAAAATCGGCATGTTCCTACAAGTTCCTGATGAACCCCAAAATCTGCCACCTCAAAATCGGTGTTTCGTGCGAGGCTTCCGTCAATTTTCATCACATGTCACAAAGTGCCATGTATGCCACGTAATTTGCGCGGTGTCACCACTTCACTCAGCCCGCCAATGCGATTCGCAAAAAATACGCAACACGACACGTCTAAAGTGCTGCGTGTGCCACGCAAAATGAACATGGACACCTCCAAAGTGCTGCGCCTGCCACGAAAAATACAACTTATGTTCAGAGAACCACGCAAAAGTATTGCGCCTGTCACACAAAATGACTTTTGAATATTTTCGACACTTTCTCACACGCAATGTGGGAGATGTAGGGAGATGTATGGAGATGTTATGTAGATGAAGTGAAAAGTTGAATTTGGCAGCAGTTCTTTGGGAAAAACCCTTCACAGGAGCTTTCGGGAAAAACTTTAATAAATCACAAAAATGTCAGAAAAAAATACATAGATTATCCCATTGTATTTTGTTGGAAAACAAATACACAAGAATCCGCCAAAGAACCATAGTTGGTTTTATTATATATATAGATAGATAGATAATATACATATATATGATATGATATATATATAATATATATATATACAGATATACATGTTCCAATACATTGTCGCTGCTCCAGTATGTGGCAGGTGCTGCATTTCTAGGGGTTGGATGGGGTTTGTCGGCAAAGGGTTTTTGTTCTCGGCAATTACGCTCCCCTTTCGTTTGCCTTACAGCAGTAAAAGATGACATACTTGGTGGCTCATCCCACTTAGTAAGTGGCTTGTAACCCCAATTATAAGTGGATTAACCCTACTTATCCCATTTATAACTGGGGTTATAACCCACTTACTAAGTGGGATGAGCCACCAAGTCGGCACTTAAAGACACATTACCAACCGCAGCATCTTCTTTCCCTGTCTGTCTTCTACTTGCTTCTCTTTACCAGCTTTATTTGCCTCACGTATAGTGCTTGCTGCAAGAAGTTGACGTGTGGGGTTACTTGGCCCTTTGTTTTTCAGATGGCTGTATGTGGAAATTTAAATGAATTATATAGCTGGTTGGTGGTTTGGAACATGTTTTATTTTCCATTTCATATATGGGATGTCATCCTTCCCATTGACGAACTCATATTTTTCAAGATGGTTTAAACCACCAACCAGTCATGATCTTTGCATGTTTTCAGAACTTATTGGTATGAAAATTGGCGTATAGATCCAGCAGAAAATTGGGTGGAAATTCAAATGAATTATATATATATTATATAGATATGATATGTATAATATTCCGACTGCATTGTCTCACAACATAGATCAGAGAACTGCGGGAGCGAGTTGAATCCGATAGACAATACCCTCTGGTAAACTAACATAACTATGGAAAATCACCATTTTTAATGGGAAAACTCACTCTTTCAATGGCCATTTTCAATAGCTATGTTAGTTTACCAGAGGGTAAAACAGATCAATTTTAGAACTTTCTGGCACCGAGGTTTCCCCAGGTCCCATATACATATCGTATTCAATAATTCTACATTATCTATCTCATTACATCAACAAGAATTATGATCTGATCATATTATAATTATAATGACATGATATGACATGTGTTTATAATGAGGCAACTATTACAGATAGTATTGTCATTTATCCTTATAAACTATGATTATCATTATTATTATCATTTATTTGCTACAAGGATAAATGATAATACTGGCCTCTAATTTCCTATGAATCATATCGTTATCATTATCAATTTTCAATAATGATATAATATGATCATACATGATAATGATATCACCAATAAGTTATTGGTATAATTTAGAAATAATGTTAACTAAACCATCAACAAATATTATCATTATCATATATATATACATAAATTATGATGATCATCTCAGCATCTCCAACCAAACATCAATTAAATCTTCGACGCCCTGCCCAGGCCGGCCGTGAGCAATATCAACGCCGTCACGGCTGTGGAGGTACCACCGAGACCGGACATCGAAGCACGTGCATCTGGGTAAATAGGCCATAGATATATATCATATTGATTTAAAAAAAAAAAAAACATTCATTGATAATATTTGATAATATTGTCCTGAATTGGGATATAGCCCACATACTTTTTTTCTATCTACATGTGTATATATATATGTTAATTTCCCGAGATGCATCTTCCACTGATTTTCCCATGAAATATTGGGATGTCCAATATATGTTCTCTGAAAAAAACACTTCAAAGTTGATCAATGGTCCCCAAATCGATGAGTTTATGGTGGATACGTGGTGGATACAATCCCTATAAATCAGCAACAACAATAGGCAAGCATCAAGAATTGTTATTTATTTGTAATTATGCTGGTTTAGGCAATAAACATTGTAGTCTATTACCCTTCAACGGTGAGGGTTTAAGCCCAAAATCGTAGGTTCTTTGATTTAATCCCAAAAAATCATATCAACTGACCGTCAAAAATCTGCATGTCACCATCTCAAAAAATGTGGTATTTTGTTTGTTCCAAGGGGAAGTCAACAATCAGGATACCATTGGTTTTTTGGTGTTCTACCAACGCACCCCCGAAAAAATGTCGGCGACCATCCAAAATAGATGGTCAATACGCATGAACAATCATTACCCTCTGGTAAACATACAAAAAGCTATTGAAAATGGCCATAGAAATAGTGGATTTACCCATCAAAAATGGAGATTTTCCATAGTTATGTTAAATTACCAGACGGTAACAAGCCTTTACTGGTGGTTATTCTCAAAACCAAACGATGGTGCTATACCATGAAGAATGGAGATTTAGTCATCAAAACGTAGGGGATGCAGCCACCAAAATCTAAAAGAGTGCAAAGACTAAGACTTGAGTAGGAATAAACAGTGTGATGTAACGAACACAGCTGGTTTTCGATTGCCGTTTGGGGGGTTCGAGTATTCTCAACAAATATGGGATAGATAAAAATTTGAAAATGTGGATCGCGCTAGCAGGATATCCGTCACTGGACATTTTCTATCCAAGAGTTGGGATCATTGGGATGGTTACCTTCACCCTCCGCTTGAAAATTCCCCTTCTGAATCGTTCGTATCGGATATCCTCGACAATTCCCCAGCCAGATGACAGTGGGCACCCCCGCGATCCTTCATTGTTTTTGGGATGGCTCAACCACCGTTACCCTCTGGTAAACTAACATAGCTATGGAAAATGACCATGTTTAATGGGAAAACTCACTATAAATGACCATTTTCAATAGCTATGTTAAATTACCAGAGGGTAATGTGTTCATATTTCAGCGGTGGGTTGGATTGGTTCAAACCATTCACAGCTGGATTGGTTCACCTGCAAATCATGATATTTTCCCTCTGGTAATCACGCATGGCTGGCTGTGAAAGCCCCAAAAACAGCGACATAAATGTGCATCTGTTTGGTGGTTTGGAACATTTTTTATTTTTCCATATATTGCGAAGAGTAACCCCAACTGACTAATATTTTTCAGAGGGGTTGAAACCACCAACCAGGAATGTTCATGATGTTCGTGATCTTTGCATTTTTTCAGAAATTATTGGTATAAACATTCATTTGTGCATAGATCCAGCAGATGTCAATTTCTTCCAAGACTTTTACCCTCTGGTAAACATACAAAAAACTATGGAATTGATCACCATTTTATAGCTGGGTATATCAAGTATTTCTATGGCCATGTTCGCAAACTGTAAGCGTTTACCAGGCCGGGTAAATCCCAGTATAACATAATATATAACCATCATTTACCATCATTTACCATCATTAACCATCATTAAGCATATATTAACCATCATTAACCAATCATTAACCATCATTAACCAATGATTTCCCAATGATTTCCCAATGATTTTACCAGAGGCTAGGTCTCCAAACGCAACATGCGCAACGGCAGGTGACCAAAATCGATCGACTTGGGACGGCCTTTCAGAGTTGCACGGCGCAAATCATCGGGTAAAACGACGGGAGGTTGTTCGCCTCTGGTAAACTAACATAACTATGGAAAATCACCATTTTTAATGGGAAAATCTACTATAAAGCACCATTTTCAATAGCTATGTTAGTTTACCAGAGGGTAGCCTCTGGTAAAATCATTGGGAAATCATTGGGAAATGATGGTTAATGATGGTTAATGATGGTTAAAGGCTGGGAAATGATTGTTTTTTTTTAATGAAATGAAGGTTAATGTTAGTAAAACAGTGAATATCTCCCAAGATCTAGTGTTTATAACCAATACCCTCTGGTAAAGGTTTACAGTGTGCTATTGAAAAATGGCCATAGTTAAATAGTTGATTTACCCATTAAAAACGGTGTTTGTCCATAGTTTTTTGTTGACGTTTACCAGAGGGTAAAAAGAACAGGGTTTGGTAAATGTCCCATTTTGGAGATTTTGAACATCATTTTCAATGATTCAAGTGTCTGTTGGAGATTAGATTAACCTATACTGTCAATGGCCATTTCAGGAACCTATATTGGAGGTACCTACCATATATAAGGCCTATGTAAGGGAATATCCCCACAAAATATGGCCTTATATGGTACAGTACCTCCATTTTAGGATCCTGGAATTCCCATTGATATACTGGTTGGTGGTTTGGAACACGGCTTTTATTTTTCCATTCAGGTGGGGATAATCATCCCAACTGACTTTCACTCCATCATTTTTCAGAGGGGTAGGTCAACCACCAACCAGTAATATACAATAATTCCAATAATGATGGTTAATGATGGTTAATGATGGCTATACTCTAGGTTAACCTTGGATGGGTAGTTTCAATAGATGAATCAATGGTGATTAATAGTGATTGACAATGGTTATGTGCCTTTCTGGGATGTGTGCGAGACCACCTGCGCATGGAAGAAAACAATCTCTTGACCTCTCTGTCCCGTGACATTTGTTCCTTTTGTTGTTGTCTCTTGCTCCATCTCTTGCTCTTGACTTCTCGTTTCCTTAACATCTCCTTCTCGTTTCAGCTCTTGCCCATGTTGTCTCTTTCTCGTGACATCTCTCAGCTGGAGGGCAAGATAGAGAAGACTTTGTGCCAGTTGAAGGGGCCTCGTCATTTGGAAACACATCCATGAAACAGCTCACACAACTTTTGGTTGACAAAGTGGGCAAGTTGGAGACTTCTTATGCGGAAAGCTTGAGGCTGACCAGGCACTTGGTGTTTAGAAAGAGATCCGCCTACTGAAGCTATGACAGTGTCCAAACAGCTTCACCAGGTGCAGCATGTGGAAAGCTCTTTCCCTGAGTGGTTTTTCTCCAGACATCTCTTTTCTTGGCAACTCGTGCTTCTTTCATCTCACTTTATTACCTTTTCACGTACTCAATTGCTTCTGTCATCACTTTCTCTTGACATATTTTTCAATGGGAATTTCAGGATCCTAATTTATATTGCCAAAAATATGGTAATTACTAACGTACCTCCATCAATTGGATCCTGGAGATCTCCAATTGATTTTTTTTCTTGAAACCTCGTTTCAATGGATTGGTTACAACGGATTTTTTTAACCGGAAAACCCCTCTTTTTTCATGGGAAAATCGATGGTTTCCGGTTTCGATTTTCCCAACAAAACCAATCCATTGACAGTGTGGATATTGAACTAAGAATATGATCTTTGGGTCTGAAAGACTGCAGTATACCTCAGCACCATGTTGATTGTTTCATGGGAAAAATGATGTTCCAAACCCCAGGATTTTCGGCATCCCATCAGGCAAACCTGGCAGGCTGGAGGTTCTCCGAGCTGAGAAGCGGAGCTGGTAGCTGGTAAAATCGTCGCGACGATTTTCCAGCAAGCCACGTCAGATTTACTGGTTGGTGGTTTGGAACATGACTTTTATTTTTCCATATATTGGGAATAATCATCCCAAGTGACTAATATTTTTCAGAGGGGTTGAAACCACCAACCAGTTTATATCGTTTGATTACCAGGTATTTGAGATTTTATTACTCGTTGGTGCAAGCAGGAACATGGCTGGATGACATGACTTTCGCCCGGTGAAAAAATGTCATCATCCCAACTGACTCATATTTTTCAGAGGGGTCGGTCAACCAGAAACCAGCTTCAGATTTACCGTACATGGTTTTGGTACCTGAAAATCGTGGATGAAGCCCCAAAAAAAACAGAAACCAGGCATTTTGCATTTGCGAAAAAGGTTAACTGGAAAAAAAGGGCCGTCAAGAAACGAGTTTCCGGAACAAATCCGAAAATTAAATTTTATGATTTATGATTCTCAATCGGTTTTTTTTTTAAGTGGATCAACAAGAGAATTGTGCAGTTGACCATGAAAATATGCATGAAACAGTGCATGACATGGGTGATGAAATCCGGGAATGATGCTGACATGATGGTGCCAGACCGAAGGGTTTGACACCAGGGGTTCTGGTCACATCAACAGCACCGTCCCAGAGGACCCCATGACCACAGCTCAGGTCGCTTGCTGGAGATCGTCAATATGTACGAGACGGTGGCGTTTGAAGTACGCACCACCACCAGCCCAAGTCCCTTGAGTGACCCCGTGGTCGTGCGAGAAGTGCCCATCCACACAATTCAAGTGGCACATCAACAGCCACTGGGAAAGCATTTGAAGCTTCCGGGGCCCCATTTGAGCAGTGACTGCTAACCCCTGTTGGTTCATGATTGATACTAGCCATTATATTGAGGATTACCATATTCCATGAAGTGTGAATCCTTCTGAACCAGCCAGCCAGGAGAATGGAATGGCACCGGGTTTTGAATAGTTTTGAACACTGCTCATTTGAAAATATCATTGTCCATTGAACAGATAACTGGTTGGTGGTTTGGAACATGTTTTATTGTTTCCATATATTGGGAATAATACTCCCAACTGACGAACTCATATTTTTCAGAGGGGTCGGTCAACCACCGACCAGATGTCGATGAATGTCGTATGTGAGGGAAAACTAGAAGCCGACCCTCGGTGCCAATATCGGTTGCCCGTGGTTTCCACGGTGACATCCATGGTGAAAGGCGATGTTCACTTGTTCTCTTTGAGCATTGCTAAGATACCCTCTGGTTACAGTATGTCAAAATAGCGAACTGGAAAATGGCCATTTAGTTCGTGAGTTTTCCCATGAAAAATGGTGATTTTCCATAGTTATTTAACATAGCCATGGTATAGATGGCCCATAGAAATAGATGGTTTACCTATTAAAAATTGTGATTTGCCATGGGAAATTGCCCATTTCTAGATGTTTACCGTTCTTAAAAATGGTGATTTTCCATGGCGAACTGTTAATCATAACCGTTAATGGTACATCCAAGAAATATTCACTCAAGAAACCCGAGAGGGTTTTTCGAAGATGGCACTCGAAAATCCGCCCGGAAAAATCCCTTTTGCAAAAATGGATGATTTGGGGTACCATTTTGGGTAGCCCTAAAAATAGGAAACCTCAATGACTCAATGATGCATCTTAAGCAAGTGATATGTGTTTGCAGATGTTTGGTAACGTTGCCACATGTTGCCACTCTGTTTGCAGCAATGTGGTAAAACCATGCAATTTGCACCATCTCCCAATCATCACCATTTTGATAGGTGGTATAAACTTACCACTCCCAGTCATGAGTGGTTTATGGCATTGTTTTACCCACATTAATTATTATTAACCACTAGTATCACTATTAATCACTATAATTCTTAGATCATCATCCCATTAATCAATTGATTATCCCATTAATCACCATTAATCACTCGTTTTTTTTAATCATCACCCTTCAACCATAAACCCCCGTTTTTTCACGAACAGGAAAGCCAATGCCGCGAAGATCGCTTCGGTGGCCAATCTCGTGGCATATTCCAACGGCTCCAGTGACGACTTTGGAGGCGGTTGATTTTCATTGTGAAAACCATTGGTCAATGGTGATTGATAATGGTTCATAAGGGTTAGTAATGGTTAGTAGTGGTGATTAGTTATTAATGGTTATTACTAACTAGTAGTCATGGTTACTAAAGGATTAAAGGTTAGTACTGTTTATTCATAGCGTACAAAGTCGGCCCCCTGGTTTTCGATAGCTAAGTTGGTGAACATAACGCCAATAATTATGGTTTATGGTACGAATACCTTATAACATCTTCGAACTATAGCTAATGGGTTTACAAACCAACTTATAACTGAGTGGGCCCACATCGTAACCATTTAGCCAAGGGAAATGGGACAGTAATGCTTAATATCTGTGCTTTGACCATGCTAAGTGGGATAACAAACAAAACCTCATTTCGACGTCTGGAATCTTGGCTACCAGGGATAACCATTTCAAAACAGCCATCTGTCAGGTTAGAGAATTTATAGTTTATCCAGATTAAAGAGAAGCTATAGTAATTACTGTAATAGTGAATTCTTGTAGTTTATCCAGATAGAACTGATAATCAGCGAAATGATCATAGCCATCACTAGTGATGATAACAAAATACTCGTAATAACTATTATATGAATGGTGAAACATGGTTTAATCATTACAAATAATGGGACATTAATGGATAATGGCTACAAATCTACGAGGCATTTGTGGACGGGCAAATTGCAACACGTCAAGCAGAATACGAAGACTTGATGGCTGCCAGAGGAGAATTGCCCAGCTGGAGTATGGACGCACCAATCCGGTGCTTGCAAGCCGTGGTTTATCAAGAAAGCCATGGCGCATGGAACTGAGAAATTGGCTTCCATGATAGGAGTCTCATATTGGTTGGTGGTTTGGAACATTATTTGTCCATTCACTTGGGAATGGAAAATCATCCGAACTGACTTTCACTCCATCATGTTTCAGAGGGGTTTGGGTTGAAACCACCAACCAGTCATAAGTGATGCTCGTTCAAAGAGTCCTTGTTTTTGTTTGCTTGCTATTTAACCTCCAGTAAATTAACAGTTTGACCCTGCCAGTCATCGGGGTTGGAAGACTAGTTTCCACTACAAATTGGTCATTTTCAGGGTCAACATGTTAATTTACCAGAGGGTAACCATGGTTAACCGTTAACCATCTTCATGGATTTATTGGGATAATCATAGAGCGATAGCACAGCGTTTTTAAGGAGAACACAGTGGTGCGGAACAGTAAGGACAGCTTGGGATCATCGATAAGATGGGATGGTAATTGGGATGATTATCATGATGTTTCATGATGATTATCCCATCAACATGGTGATTTTCCATAGTTATGGCATAGATAATCATAGTTATTGGGATGATTACTACCTGGTAAACGTTTACATAACGAACTGGAAAGATCCACCATGTTTCATGGGAAAACTCACGATTTCTATGGCCATGTTCAATAACTATGTTAGTTTACCAGAGGGTAACCCTCAAAAAGGAATATGATCAAGCTTATTTTAATACCAGATGGTTTTAACTTTCAAAATGGATGGTAGTTGGGACAATAATGTGGATATGATATGATCTAATGGGAATATATTATATTGGGGAATAGAATGGGTTTACAATCCATTGGATGGATTGGTTTTCACCACACACGGCCTGCTGTTTCGCGTTTTGGGCTTGTACTTGGATTGACCACAGAATCAACTAGCAATTAGACTTTTTGTAGGATCAACAAAGCAGCAAGAAAAAAAATATACCCTCCAGTAAATTAACATAGACCCTGCCAGATAGGAATTGGAAGATTAGTTTCCATTAACAATTGGTGATTTTCAGGGTCTATGTTAATTTACCAGAGGGTACACAGAACCAACAGTCGGTCAACTAAGAGTTTAAGATTGTGATTTTATATATTTGAATGTGATACAGCCATGGAATAGTCGCTATATTCAGTCAACGTAAGTAAGCCAACGCTTGGTTCATTGTGTATTCATATGTGCAGTTAGAGTCGTTTGTGAACCAATTTAACAAGCTAGGATGCTGGTCTTGTACTTTTAAATAGTCCTTATTTCAATGGTCTGCAAGGGTTTTCACTTAAAAACATTGGACAAGGTTTACTTGGCTAAGGCGTTTTTCTCGTCCATGCGAAGCATGAAGATTTCGGGGGAAAGCTCCGACTCCAATGGATTACCCCCTGGTAAATTAACATACCCTCTGGTAATTTAACATAGCCATGGAAAATCACCATTTTTTATGGGAAAACTCCCTATAAATGGCCATTTTCAATAGCTATGTTAGTTTACCAGAGGGTAGACCCTGAAAATAACCCATTTTTAATGGAAACTAATCTTCCAAGTCCTATGACTGCCAGGGTCGAACTGTTAATTTACCAGAGGGTATATACCATAATTGTCCTTATTCAGGACAAAAAAGAATTGGAAAAGTATGATCATCGATAATCATCGATCATGAAATTACGATAAATGCCGTATGGTTTGTCTGATCATGGTGTTTTTCTGATCATTTGCCGTTTGTGGGTAGATAACCCAACTAAATCAGACAAAACCATCTATTCACGACACTCAAGAACTGATTTTAGAGGGAAATCTGAATCTTTGGGGCAGAAAACTCAGCGCCGCTTCATGGTGAATTTCCTGGGCGTAGATATCATAAGGTACAAAAAACGTGCCGAGTGATCTCCCAGGCGCAGATCCAACACAGTAAAAAAGGCCAGTGGTTGCAGGCTACACGTTTTCGGCGTGTTATATGATTTTTATTGGTGATTTCAAACATGTTTTGTCCATTTCATATATGGGATGTCATCCTTCCCATTCACGAACTCATATTTTTCAAGATGGTTAAAATCACCAACCGGAATTGTATATATAGGATATGATATGGAGGTGTCCTAAAATAGGGAGATCCCCAGTCACCATGGGTTTCAATACTAAGTCATAGTCTAATGACTTGGATGGTTTGGGGGTACCCCCATTTTAGGAACCCCCCATGTGTATAATATTAAGATGATGTACTACTTGATCTTAGATTCTTAGATGTTAAATATGATACACATTACAGTAACTTAAGTCAGCCCCCAAAAAAATTAGACATCTAAATTTATCACTATCTAATTTCAATCTATAGAATCAAGATGTACATAGATTTACCCCCCATATGATAGTATTAAGATAGATCCATTTGAACGCATCATAAACAGGAAACTTCAAATGGAAACCAGTTTACTAAGTATTTAATATTCATGGATCATCCTATTTTCAGATAGATCCATTTGAAACAGTTTACCATTTAACAGGATTTTCCATGAAATACCCTCTGGTTATGACTAACATAGCCATGGAAGCCATGGTCCATAGAAATAGATGGTTTACCTATTAAAAATGGTGGATTTTCCATGGAAAATTGCCCATTTATAGATGGTTTACCTATTAAAAATGGTGGATTTTCCATGGCGAACTGTTAGTCATAACCAGAGGGTCATCGTCGCCAGGAGTCGATTTGGTGAACCAGACCAGCGCCTCGTCGCGAGATGGGGAAGAGCGACTGCGAATAGAATATCTCTGTGGTTTAAGATGCTGTACTACTGAATAATACTGTATATATATATATATATGCATATACATGTGTGTATATAATAATATATATATACTGGTATATATGTATATATATAGTATTATATATATATGATAGATATATATATATATGGGACCCCGATGCCTTTATTTTCATGGTCGTCCCTGAAAAATGGTGGCCAATCGTCCTGCAAGGCAGCCAATCCTCTGAAAATCAGTTGTGGCCATCGGGAGATCTTTCAACGGAGGGCTTTCCATGGGAAAATCTGGGTAAATTATAACGACCTCACTGCGACCTCACTGGAAATCATGGTTCGTAAGGGAAATCATCCCCAAATGGCCTTAATTCAGGTTAGTGAATTATTATATATAATTTACCCAGGAAAATGATGATAAAATGGTGGATGTTCCATTGCTATGTTTGTCAGAGGGTATTGCTGTTGAGGCGGATTGATCCCAACTGCTATGAGTGATTGCTTCTAGAAGGTTACTGTAAATAGCTTTGTTAAACATGTGAATTAGCTTTTAAAAAAAATGTGAAGATGTGAATTAGCTATGGTAAATTTTGATAGCTATGATTTAATAGCTAAATCACCTGTTGTTGATTTGGTTTTGAACTCACCCACAGTGGAAACAATGAAACTAATCAACCAGTTTTTCATGTTGAGCCCAGTCATATGTTTCGTTCCCCAGGCGTCACGTGCCACCCTTTACAGCTACACTGTCTCAAGAGGAGTCAAGATGCATACAAAATACACCGTGGTTCCTTTACTGAAGTATCGCGTCATTCCACGGAACTTCCAAACATGTTGAAGAAAATTTAGATCTGAACCACAGGCTTGTGCTGATTTCCAGCGATATGTTCAATCATAGTCTTCTCGTGTTTTGCGATGTTTGACCACGTCAAATTCCCAGCAAGTCTCAGCAACCTCACTACGGATTCATTGGAACATGGTGAAAACTAGCCATCACCTCCAAGATGGTGACAATTCACGACCCACAAGTCCGCGAAGGGTTGCAAAATTAGCCATATTTTTGCTACTGTGATTTTGAACCAGACCAAGTTACATGTAAATGTGTAAGTTATTTGAGCTTACCGATTTGAACCAGTAGAAGTCCGTGGATCTAGAATCTAGATTAAGAACGTGATTCCATACAAATGTACATAGAAATCCCCTTGAGATAGCAGTTCGTAAAATCATGTAAAATCCGATTCGAAAATTGAGTAATCATGTCAACCAATTATCTATGTTGGGTGCGAATATACATATGTATATAATATATATATATACGTATATATCATACACACATACATATATAATTCTATTATATACATGCATACATGCATTCATGCATCCATACATACATCCATCCATCCATCCATCCAAACATACGTACATCATATATTTAGATGTTTTTTTTGCTCACGACGCCCCTACCGGCCCTGGGGAATTTGACACTTTTTGCTGTGTCGTTCATCGCCTTGCCCGTCAGTTAGAACTTGTGCACGAAGGATCATCTGATTTTTTTGGGGAACCGGGTGGGCTGGGGGGGTGGGGGGCGGGGGTGGGGGGTGAGGGGGGTGGGGGGGCAAGGGGTACGCTGTAACATGCTAGACGCTCTTGATGCTACGCTGCAACATGTCTCTTGTCACTTGCCAGACACTCTACCTGGTTTAACGTCATCAGGCAAACAAAGTTGCTGTTTATAAACGTTCACAACAAACTAAAAGGAAAACTTAGATATAAAAAAACCTACAGATCTAAACTAGACATGCGACATGCGACATGGAGATCACCTCAGGCAGTCCATGTTGCATGAGAACAACCTCTACCCTTGGGAGCCCATGTTGTTAGCGAAACAAGAGTGTCAGGAATCCGATGAAGGGCAAACCAGTTGGTATGAAATTCTGAACTTTCGAATGTCAACATCACAGGCTTTACAACGTAAAATGCACAGCGTTCAGGAACCTCGTTTTTGGGATCAGATCTGTAGGCACGTTTGTTATGAGAATTTCGAGTTTTTTTTTGCGTTTAGGAATTGAATGGAATTGAAGTTCATTAGCTACTCAACAAATGGGCAGAACAAGAAAACACTGTGAGGGTCATGCGAAACACAAAAAAGCAGCGAATGAAAAGGTGAAAAACAGCAGGGCCGTTACAGGCGTCGTGACCTTGTTTAAACATTTCAGGGAGACCGAGACCTCATGGTCTCCCACGCCAAGGAGATAACTTCATCGCCACCCACTATTCTCTGTTGGAGGGCAAGCCAGCGACTTGGAGCGTTTGCAGCGATGACGGCGATGAGCCGAGACAGCGGTTGTCGGGACAGCGTGGTGTTTCACCTGTGTTGAACAGTGGCTGCTAAACCCCTGGTTGATGGGTTGATGACTAGTTGGGGGATTATACTAGCCAAAAAATATTGGGGATGATAATCATCCAAGAACCGGGAATCCCTACAAACCAACCAGGATTAAATGGAATGATAGAGGGATTTTGAACATGCTCGTGTTATTTTTCAATCGGGTTTAATCATCAAGCAGGTGACGTTTGCTGTATCTTACATTATCTTACAATTTTTGAATGGCCAATACTCTGTGCTTGACACATAAAGCACTGCGTTTATCCATGTTTAATCTGTAATGATGACACATGTTTTTGAAACTAGCAATGACTAATACGGCTTTGTCTGAAGATAGTGTATCCCTACCTCCACAGGCAAATCAAACATGTTCCATGCCAATTTGGGGCAAACAAAAACATGTTCAGTCATGCCATGTCATGCCCACATCCCACATTGTAGATGTGTATCCCGGTATATCCCCATTACTACAAAAATCCCCGTAGTGTCCTAGTTATATAAATCCTTATAAAACCCCATGATTTCTAACAAAATTCCGATTGTGACACAACAATGACCCATCCTACGAATCTGGGGCTCTTTTTACATCCACATCCCAAAGAATTAAGGGTATACCGGTATACCAAATCGTGTACTTGGTGGCGAACTACCCACGAATCGTTTTTGTGGCTTATAACCCCAGTGATTTACATGGGATGTTTGGAGCGGGTTAATCCACTTATAATTGGGGCGAACTAACCCACTTACGATTAGTGGGATGAGCCACAGTGTACCCAATAAACAAGACTTGGCGATGGTAAAAATCCATGGTTTCTCATGGGGAATTGGCCCACGATTTTTTGGGACACCGAAGATCATGGAGATTTGATCAACACCAGGTCATCCTATTACCGTTTTGGCTCACGATTGTTGAGAGCCTGGAAGATCACCAACTTGGGCATAGAATGCGCAAGGCGTTTGTCTATTAATGTATATCATGATGTCTATATATATATATTATGTGACAATGTGGCTGGTCTATGATATCTAGTCTGCAAGAAATACTAAAGCGAAATCTGCCATGGATTTTGCCATCATATAGAGAAGGCCTGCATAAACCAGCCACAAAGTTCACCAGGATGATCGTGAGTAAGGGGAAATACATAAAACGTCACCTAGCATTTCAACTGGGAAAAACATGGATGGACAAGTTCATACGTTCATCTTTTCGCCATTTTTTACATGGCGAGCAACAGGCTAGCCCAGCCAAGAGACTGCAGGATATCTAAGATCTGGCCATGTCAGATTTTGGGATTCCATCAGATCCCATTTCGAAGGTTACCTATCCCATAGGATGCATCCATAGGTGAATCACCGTAAAAAAAAGAACGGCCACAAATAGCCACAAATTGGGAAATGGAAAAATACCAAGCATTTTGACACATGGCAGTGTGTCAAAACCTTGTACCCCTGGTGAACATCAAAATAGCTGGTAAATGGATGTTCATCCCACTAAAAATGGTATTAATAGGTATTGATCCATACCCACATCTAAAATATTCTAAAATCATCTTGTTGGTTACCTCCGGTTACAAGTTCTTGACTATTCCAGCAAAAAAAAATCCATGATGTTCGGGAAGAAAAAAAACACCCACTTATCATCCCAAGTGCCCCAATTGCTAGCCTAATGATCATCCCAATTACCATCCTAATGTTCATGGTTACCCTCTGGTAAACTAACGTAGCTATAGAAAATCACCATTTTTAATGGGAAAACTCACTATAAATGGCAATTTTCCATAGCTATGTTAAATTACCAGAGGGTAAATCTTAATCTATCGCGGCTTCGCTGAAGTCCGGTTGTGTACACACCTGAGCAGTTTGGCTGCGTTCAAAACCTCTGGCAGGCTTGATGATAGGAGATGATACGAACCAATATAATGTGGGTAAAACAATGCCATTTTTACCACCCATGACTGGGAATGGGGGCACCATACCACCTATAAATTCATGGTGATGACTGGGGGATGGTAAACATGGCATTGTTTTACCCCAATATATTGCGGATAATCACAATCCATGAACCGGGAATCGTTTCCCAGAGGCTCAAGTCATCACCATTTCTTATGGGTGGAAGAAAGCCATTAAGACCATATTGTGTGGGGATATTCCCTAAAAAACCAGGAAAAAATTGACCAAAAATATATAAGGTAGGTACCTCCAATCAATCTGTTCCTGTTGCATGGCCATTGAATAAATGGACGACACAGGCTGGTTGGTGGTTTGGAACATGTTGTATTTTTCCATTCAGTTGGGAATGTCATCATCCCAACCGACTTTCACTCCATCATTTTTCAGAGGGCTAGGTCAACCACCAACCAGATATATTATTAACCATCATTAAGCATATATTAACCATCATTAACCATATATTAACCATATATTAACCATCATTAACCATCATTAACCATATATTAAGCATATATTAACCATCATTAACCATCATTAACCATATATTAAGCATATATTAACCATCATTAACCATCATTAACCATATATTAAGCATATATTAACCATATATTAACCATACATAGTGGATTTACCCCTTGAAAATGGGAACATCGAAACCGGAAACTATAGATGTTCCATGATTTTCCTATTAAATATCGGGTTTTTCCATGATTTTCCGGTTAAATATAGGTTTTCCATGATTTTCCGATGAAAATTTTCCCGGTGAAAACCCATCCATTGAAAAATGGACGGCACTTTTCCGGTGGATTCCGAGGCGACCGGGCTCTTCCCGGCCATCGCAGAGGAGCACAGTGTCTGTGCCATCAGGCCCCGGCCGGTTTCGCCAAGGGATGGACGTAGGATGTGGTCCTGGTGAACGATGGGATTTCCCGTAATGGAAAACTAACAGTTATTGATGGTTAGTATTGGAGGTTGATAGTGGTCAATAATGATTAAATAATGGTGGTTAATGATTATTAATGGTTAATAGTGGTTAGTTATTGATGGTTAGTGGGAAAATCATAGGAAAACCATAGGAAAATGGGAAAAGCATAGGTAATTTTAACGTAGCGAACTGGAAAATGGCCATAGAAAGAGTGGATTTTCCCATGAGTAGCATGGTGATTTTCCAGTTCGCTATGTTGAATTACCAGAGGGTAAACTATAACAGTTATTGATGGTTAGTAGTGGTTAATGATTGATAGTGATGGTTAGTAGTGGTGAATCATGATTTAAATATACCATCGGGTAAACGTTAAGAAAAAGCTATGGAAAACCACCATCTTTAATAAGTGGTTTAATATGGTTTAATGGTGTTTCATGGTGTTTAATGGAGATTTACCCTCTGGTAAATAACTATAACTATGGAAAACCACCATTTTTGATGGGTAAATCAACTATAAATGGTCCATTTTCCAGTTCGCTATGTTAAATTACCAGAGGGTATGAATCTGGTCATATATATCATGTTAAAACAATGTTATGTTTACCACCCATTGATAGTGATTCATGACAGTGATTAATGGCTATTGATAGTGATTAATCTGGTTAAAACAATGTCATTTTTACCACCCATGACTGGGAATGGTTTATAATACCACCCATAAAAATGGTTTTGACTTGGAGATGGTCTATGATTGTTACCCTCTGATAAACTAACGTCGCGAACTGGAAAATCCCCATTTCTGAGAGGTAAATCAACGAACTAAATGGCAATTGTCCTTTTTAGTGTTAAATTACCAGAGGGTATCCAAAATGGTGGAAAGTTGGTCATCTAAACCCATTAAAACAATGGTGATTGACAAGAATTGTTGGTTAAATTGCAAGTTTTACAATCAAAAAATGTGGAAATGTGTAGATTTTGCTATTAAACGTTGTGATTCAAGCATTCAAGCATCGAAATTAGCGATTTAACAAATGAATGATGCTAAATGATATAGGGACGGGATGTGGTTTTTTTGTATACCGCCTTTTTTTATGACAATTGTTTAGGGTGAAAATGATGATTCACCCATGGATGCAGTGGGCTAGCCGATTTTCAGACAAGCCCCAGGATCATTTAGGGGAACTGACGCTTGAAGTCGGGGATATATGGTTAATATATGGTTAATATATGCTTAAAAAATACATAGATTTAATATTAACCATATATTCAGGTGATTCAAAAAAATGGGGATTCAAAAAGGTAGAACAATTGTGTGCGATCGGCGATAGCAATAGTCACATGTGGACCGATTTTTATCAAAGGAGTGAGATGAAGGTGTCCAGAACGCAGAATTAAGCTGCAAGACAGATGTTTGGAGAATTTATGCAGGGACATGTCCAAACAATGTTTTGGTCAATTCACCTTGATTCTGAATGGTGTTCTCAAACATTGCCCAAGTTTCAACATGTGTCAACCACTCACACATTTTCAAGATGCCTCCTGAATGTGATTTGTTGACTTGAGGGACATACTCATACTCCCGAAAAGCAAAAAAAACATCAAAGATATCAAGAATGATGTTCCCCAAGGTTTATCACGCTCACTGCTGGGCCACCCAGCAGGTCGGTAAAAACGTCCAAACGTGGTTGCTTCCTGCAGGCAGATGCAGGACATCTATACTGACTTTGTCGCGGTGGATAGGTATGCTCAGGATGCCGTTTGCTGCGAGGGGAGAACCCAGTTGTCGTTGCTGGAAAAGTGTGGTGTTTTGCTAACCAAACCGTAAAGAGATGATGTGTTTTGCCAGGTATTCGCGGTCATAAATCATAAAATCAAGGCGTGGGCTATGACATTTTTGTGGGCCTGAAGAATGTTCAGCAGTTTGCGACCAGAATTTCCAGTATTCCCCAAATGACTAGCCGTATGATTCGGAGCGCAACGACTGCTTTCTGGCTTCAAATGTGTCTGGCTATGTTTCATCGGTAGCTGGTATGATGATCCTAACCGGCTAATTCATAGATTTTTCAGTTGGGTTGAAACCCGCTGTTGGATTGGTGGATTTGACGGATAAGTAGGGATGATAATATAAGATATTGATAAACCATAGAATTGGAGGGCTTCCACTTCTCCAAATGGCTCTGAACCATCAAAATCCATCAAACACGTCCAATGGCGGGTTCCTAAAATGAGGGATCCCAAAATCATCCTTAAAATTGGTGATTGTCCAGTCAATGGGAAAACCCATGGTTTTTTTTTGTACCCTCTGGTCAACTAACCTAACTATGGAAAATCACCATGCTATTAATGGGTAAATCCACTATTTCTATGGCCATTTTCCAGTTCGCTATGTTAGTTTACCAGAGGGTACCCATATTTGTCGGACCCCCATGGCCATGTGAAACCAAGAGAAAGCCATCGAGAAACTCGGGCCTCCAGGAGGGTAAGACGAATCCCTTGATGCTGGGGCCGCTGGCAGATGCGGTCGAGAAGGCCTTGAAAAAAAAGGGTGAAATCACTGTGAAGAAAACATCCCCAAGCTGGTATGGGTACCCTCTGGTAAACTAACATAGCTATGGAAAATCACCATTTTTAATGGGTAAATCCACTATAAATGGCCATTTTCAATAGCTATGTTAGTTTACCAGAGGAAAATCGTCCAGTTAGTTGATGTTTTTTGCAACAAAAGATATCAATTTTCGGTGGACTAGCCAAGATTGACCATGGAAAGTATGTATTTTCTTAGGGGATTTAACATCACACTGGTTGAAAGTAAGGTCAAAACAGTATCATTCATTTTGACCACCATAAACTTCAAATAGAAAGTAATGGAAGTCTTCATGGGCTTCAGTCAGCTGTCCCATTCTTAAGGGCATTATTATATATATAACCACCAACAACGATTCGTCGATTCGTGAGTGTTTATCAACCATTCTAGTATTGGGGGTCGCCGAAAAGGGAAGGTTGCTACAAGTTGGTGCCCTAGTTCGTTAGCGAAGATGGTGAACATAACTCCAATTTCACTATGGTTTATGGTAGATATAAACTACTTACTATGGTTTATAAACCAACGTTCACATCTGCCTGGGGCACACAGGACACAACCTTGTAGGTCACCCGGTCACCCGCATCTTTTTGCCGCAGGTTATCACAAAGTACACTGCGGTCATCGACTACTACAAACAGGTGGTGTGTGGGCCGATGCTCCGTGTGGTTAGGGTTTAGTGCCGGGGGAATGTTGGTCAACACGTGCATATGATTTTTTTGTTTGTTTACCCTCTGGTAATTTAACATAGCTATTGAAAATCACCTATTAATGGGAAAATCCACTATGAATGGTCATTTTCAATAGCTACGTTATATTACCAGAGGGTATTCATTGAGTTTCCTTTGAATAGTTAAACTCTTCGAAGCTTTATCGAGTTGAATGTGGGTAAAACAATGCCATTTTTACCACCCATGACTCGGAATGGGGGCACCATACCACCTATAAATTCATGGTGATGACTGGGGCATGGTAAACATGGCATTGTTTTACCCACATTAATTATTATTAACCACTAGTATCACTATTAATCACTATAATTCTTAGATCATCATCCCATTAATGATTGATTACACACATTACGACGCCTTACTGCTGTGATCTTGGACCCACATTCATCGTCGGAATGTTGAGTGCCACAGGACTGAGTTTGCAGCATTTTTGTTCCCCTCTTAATCAACCAAGGGCTCAATAAGATATGAGATTTAAACATACCATCTGGTTATTTAACATAGCCATGGAAAATCACCATTTTTACTAGGTTAAACAGATATGGGTAGTAGATGTATGGTTCACTGCCATTAAATCCATCAATACTTCTATTATGGTTCACTGAAGTTCCATTAATACCATCTGGTTATGACTAACATAGCCATGGAAAATCACCCTTTTTAATAGGTAAACCATCTATTTCTATGGACCATGGCTTCCATGGCTATGTTAAATAACCAGAGGGTATAAATCAATGATGTTTTTGATTGAGGAACATTATTTCAGAGAGAATCATCAAGAGGTGTCAAATCTTAAGGATTGAAATTCATCGCTTTATCAGTTCACCAGAAACACATCCCCTTTCAGTAAGAACCATATAAAAAGTGGTCATTTTCATGGTCCAACGCTCAATTTTCATGGAATTTCCCCATGGGGTGATCCTGCCAAGTGTCTCCAGGATCTCCCCACATGATGAAATGCACCCGTTGCCCCCGTTTTTTGATTTTTTTGAAACATTCACCACTCAACTTCATGAACACCATGAAACTCCAACTTCATTGACTTCATGTCATCATTGATTCATCATTGATTCCACCTAAAACAGAAAACACAACCATCTCTTTGCCGGAAAAAGATTCCGCCGGTTGTTTTCCCAGGGCTCCATCGCCTGTTCCAATCGCAGCTACGTCCTGGCCGAATGGGAACTTCTCATCGAAGCCGTTGGATCCCTCCGAAGCCTCACGCAGGAGGCGGTGAAGCGAGGGATGGGGGGATGTGGAACGGCCCTCAGATGATGGATGTGTTTTAAGGAACCAACTTTTTTTGGGGATTCACTGAAAAATAATGGGATATAACTATAGTTATACTATTAGAATATTTTCATATCTGGCTGGTGGTGACTGGACCATGACTGGATGACATGACTTTCCATTGAGACATGTTTAAATTGACAGGGAAGATATGAAGATGAGGTTTCAAAACACACTCTAATTTGCCATCTCATTCGCCTGTGTTTGACGAGACAAGAGCCAATTCACCAGCAAAAATTGGATGGCTTCAGCTAAGGAATAAAAAATTGGTTTCTACGATTTCGAGAGAATCGTAGGGACCTTTTTGCCCTTTTTGAAGCCCCTTTTTCGAAACAATGAGGAAATCATAGGTCCATCGTCACCAAAAAGGCATTGCTTCTCGAAGCTATTGAAAATGCTTAGACGGTTTTTGATAGTTTTGATCAGACGAGAGGTGCCCATGCCCACAAATACAACATCTTCGCCAGCGAAGATGGTCATTCCGTGCCAATCAAGTTTGGGGTGCCAGCCAGAACATGACGAAAAATCATCGAAGCCAGAATTTTTTTGGGGCTAGGCCAACATGGAAATAAGAAAAACCTAAGAAAGGATGACAGAACGAATAAAGGACAGAAGTGGTGACTCAGTCTGAGTTTGCGTCTGTTCTTCGTTGCTTAAATTCCGTGTCCATGTCTGACATGTTTGCTTGATCACCTCCTTTTTGTGGATGTTCGAATGGCTTTGAAAATATGCTGCAGTGTGTAGCTTTTTGGATCGGTAAGCACCAATCCAAGGGGATCGAAAAACCGGTGGTCCCAGTATTTGGAGATGAAAGATCCAGAAAAAAATCCTTGGCCTTGGGGCGAACAATCACCGCCATTTACCATCATTTACCAAGCTCTGAACGTCAACATCTAGCATTTATAATCATTTATAGATGATATTCCCATTAAAGCTTCCAAGTCCTGCATGGTTTTGTTGATCATACCATGTTTCATTGGAGTTGTTCGACATGTTGCATGAAACCCCCCTTTTTTTACATTGGAAAAGCCATCGTTTTCCGACCGTGAACTCGGACGTTGGCGCCGCTCCAAAGGCCTGTGCGGACTATATCCTGGCTACTCAAGGTGGGGATAGGGGAAAATCGAAACTGGAAAGCCATGGGTTTTTACTAAGAAATCTGGGGGGTTCCTGGTTTGGAACATGACTGGATGGCATGACTTTCCGTTCAGTTGGGAATGTCATGTCATCCCAAGTGACTTTCACTCACTCCATCATTTTTCGGACGGCTAGGGCAACCACCAACCAGAAATATTATCAACCATCATTAAGCATATATTAACCAGATATTAACCATCATTAACCATCATTAACCATCATTCACCATATATTAAGCATATATTAAGCATATATTAACAATCATGAACCATCATCAACCATATATTAACCAGATATTAACCATCATCATTAACCAGAAATAATAGTTCCCATCCCACAACTTCCCACGTTCAAAAAAAAGACACCAAGGTCCCAATGATGTGGACGCCATGTGGAAATCCCAATGATCCGAAACTTCAAGGTAAACCTAGGGAAATCTTCAATAGTTTTTTGGGGGATTGGATGATGGGATGGCTTGAATTTCTTGGTCGTGTTTTTAGAGAGATCTTAGAGTGGAAACCCTTTGGTTAACATAGCCATAGCTATGGAAAATAGTCATTTTAATCGGTAAATTTGGATATCAACCAGCAAAAACTCACCATTTGTTGCACGCCATCTAAGATTGGCTACGAAAACAACAAAAGCTATTCATTTGATTGTACTAAAGATGTCTATATTATCTGTGTTTAATATCACTTGCTACATCAGCTAGAATTCTGATGGTCTATCCCTTCCCTTTCATATTCAACAGCCCAATTACTGTATTCTATGGTCCCACCGGATTTGATCTCTACCAAACCATGGTTTCTTTGGGGGGGCTTTATAGGGGGATGGGATACCCGGCCTGGTAAACGTTAACAAAAAGCGAACTGGAAAGATCCACCATGCATTTTCAATGCGGATTTATCCACTAGTTCGTTTCTATGGCCATTGTTCAATAGCTATGTAACAGTCATTACCAGAGGGTATATTCTATCAATCACCATTATTAATCAGTATTAACCATAATAAGCCATGATTAAACCATTATTAACAACCACTATCAATCACCTTGTTGTATGTACGGCGTATGTGTTCGATGCCGCGACGCCACTGGATTGATTGTGTCTAAGGAAATCATCCCATTTTATGCCTCAAAATTCGAGTGAATTAGCCTCTGGTAAACATACAAAAAGCTATTGAAAATGGCCCAGTCGAAATAGTGGACAAATCCGCATTGAAAATGCATGGTGGATCTTTCCAGTTCGCAAAATGTAAACGTTTACCAGAGGGTATTGCATGTTATTGTTATGATTTATCCAGATGATTTGCACACAAGATTGGGGACTTTTTTGGTGAAACTGCTTCATGGTTACCTCGACATATGACATATTGATGTAAGTTGAGGTGTGTCAATTCTCATGACCCCACGCGAGGTCGGGTTTCTGATTGTGAGCAGTTCAACGTGTTTTCCCCTTAAATTGCCCCAATCTTTTCAGGTTGCCGAATGATTCCAGCTTATCCATAATATGTATTTACATGCATCCAAGCATCAGCTCACTTGAAATCCTTGTGATTCCTTGTGACTTTTCCAGCACAGATGTCTGAAAAAAAGTCCACGTGTTTTTGAGTCAAGCTGCCGGAGAATCTGGAGAATCAAAATGGCTCTGTCTGAGAATGTTGGGAAAACCACGGAAAAGCCTGAAAAAATGCATAGCCCATGTTGTTTCCATCAAACTGCATATTTTTTGGGTATCCCTTATCTTTGGACCTTTGGACAAACTCCATCATTTTCATGACCCACTTAGAAGTGGAAGTACCTCACTGCAGGAACCCCAAAAATGTGTCGGTTTTGGAATTAGGAAATCCTATGAATTAGTTTTTTGTGTAGTAAGAAAATCATCTGTACATGATAGGAAACATGATGACAATGATGATTTGCACAGTTTTGTGACAAGCAACGTCAGATCCAAGTTGCCTTACCTCGCAATCATGGGTAAGGAAGTCCAACTGACCATTTTCAACAGCAAATCCAATCTCATTCCCCAAATTTACCAAACATCCCCATTTGTAATAATGTTATACATTAAGATCCCATTTCGATTTGAAATTTACATACTGTGGATGGTTGCGAAAACCTGCACCACCTGGGATGCTAGAAAGCCTTTAAACAATATGGGATAAATCATTTACCAACTGCAGGATTTCGCAACCATCCACAGTACCAGACATATACTGATTGGTGGTTTGGAACATGAATTTTATTGTTCCATTCAGTTGGGAATGTCATCATCCCAACCGACTTTCACTCCATCATTTTTCAGAGGGCTAGGTCAACCACCAACCAGATATATTATCAACCATCATTAATCATTAATCATATATTAACCAGATATTAACCATCATCATTAACCATATATAGTGGATTTACCCAAAATCATTAACCATCATTAACCAGATATAAATCGTTTCTATGTTCCCCAAAAAATCTGATGTCATCCCCCTACATCCACGGTTTTTCTCTCTGTGTTTTGCCAGGTACCGAGCCCATTTTCCAGGAGCGATCGGTGACTTGGATCGCATCAAGGTGAGAGGTAAGGCTTGTTGTCAACAAAAAACCATAGAAATAGTGGATTTTCCCATTAAAAATTGGTTGTAGGCGGGCTGTCAGGGATGGTCGACCGCCAGGAAGCTTACAGGCCTTCAGCTCAAAGGGATTCGTCGGCCGACATGGGCGGTTACAACGAGAAGGAAACCTGCCAACAGCTGACCAACATCCGGAGAGCCATGGCTGCTGGCTTCACGAAGCGAGGCTATCCACGAAAGGCCCTTGCTTGGATGTGGTTAGCTGTGGCCAATTTGGCCTTTTTCTCTGTCCACGATCACCGGTCGAATGAAAGACCGGTGATCGTTCACTGCAAGCGGGGCAAAAACCGAAGCGCAGCCCTGGCATGCATCCTCTACTCCCTCTACAATGAGTGTTCCTGGTCCATTGACAAAGAGGCCGCAAGACACGAAGGGCCAGCGGAGCGTTGGACGAGAAGCACTATGAGCTGATGCTGGCCATGGATAGGAGACTGGATTCCTATGCTCTGACAGCGAAGCAGGTGCTTACAGACTACGGCAGGTTGCTGGATGCAGCCCGCGCCGGGCATGGCGAACTTCGTGTGTACAGTAGCCATTGTTGAACATTTCATCAAGCCAGTATGCATACCCAGGATTGGGATGTTGAACCGGGATGTAAATTTGGATCCGAGCATTTTGGCTATGTTGCTGTCCAGATTTTGTTCTCACCGTTCCCTGACGCGGGACTTGTACTGTTCCATTACCATGTTAGATTGCCGAAGTAAAGTAATTTAAATCTATCTATCTATTGTTCTTTCGCTGTCGGTTTTTTCTTCCTATTCGTTCTACCTCCATGTTTTTTCTGCCTCTCAAGTTGTTTAGTCGCTCTGTATTTCTATCTTTCTACCTGTCTGCCTTTTTTGTCGTTCTATCTTTCCATGTCTATCCATCACGTTTTTTTTCCCATCGCTTAAACAAAATCTTGGACAAAATATTGCGCACTTGTTTTCTATTTCCGAGGTTTTTAGAATCTTAATTGCGCTGTCAGAGAACAGCCTCAAGAATCAGAACATTTGTTTGGTTAATCTTACATGATCTTAGAGGCAGCCTTGATGCTACTCTGTAGAATGTTCACCTGCACTTGCACAGGGGAGGGGGTCTCTACATTGTATAGAATGTTCGCTTTAACTTGCACACATCCTTGCAGCCATGTAAATATACAGAATGTTGACTTGCTCTTTTGAATGTTCTTGATGGTACGCTGCAGGCTGTCCACGTAGCCGCATGCTTGATGTTACTCTTCACCTACACCTTCCTCCACACAGGGTTGATGCTTTGCTCCATGCTGTTCAGATTTCCTTTGCTCCTGCTCCACGCTACATTACAGAATGTTCGCTTGCACCTGCACTTGCATCTTCTCGCGCACTCAGCCAATTGAGCGCACCCAGCGCACCCAGCGCACGCGGCGCACCCAGCGCACCCGGCGCACCCGACGCACCCGGCCGCACCCGACGCACCCGGCCGCACCCGGCGCACCCGGCGCAACCCGGCACACCCGGTGCAACCTGGACCTGAAGTCACGGCTTCAAAAGCTTACAAAAAATCAATCCAACCATTCAAAAAGAAATTGAAAATCTCAAGAAAAATAACCGAAAGCAAATCCAAAAATTAAAAGCGCAATTTACAAGAAGATCAACAAATAAAAAACAAACAAATCCAAAGAGGTCATTTTTCCCAAAAAGTGCAAAACAACTAGACGACGGATGGCCCGAGAGCGTAGAGGAGCAGAGTCTTCTGTTGTTAGTATGGAGACATTATATTACAAGACAATATATTAAAGATGTATTTTAGGCAGACGAGAAGAGTAGTATCAAGACAGTATATTACAAGTACAAGACTTACAAGACAATAGTTTGCATCGTATCTTTCGTTAAAAAAAAAATCACACACAGAATTTTTTACAGACAGACGCTTTTGCACACAGAGACTTTTACACACAGAGGCTTTTACACACAGAGGCTCTTACACACAGACGCTTTTACACACAGACGTTTTTACACACAAACATTCTTACACAAACACTTTTACACACAAACACTTTTACACACAGAGGCTTTTACACACAAACGCTTTTACACACAGACCCCTTTACACACAGACGCTTTTACACACAAACACTTTTACACACAAACACTTTTACACACAAACACTTTTACACACAAACACTTTTACACACGGAGACTTTTACAGACAGACGCTTTTACACACAGAAGCTTTTACACACAGACGCTTTTACACACAGACGCTTTTACACACAGAAGCTTTTACACACAGAAGCTTTTACACACAGACGCTCTTACACACAAACACTTTTACACACAAACACTTTTACACACAGAGACTTTTACTTGCAGACGCTTTTAGACACGGAAGCTTTTACACACAGACCCTTTTACACACAGACGCTTTTACACACAGACGCTTTTACACACAGAAGCTTTTACACACGGAGACTTTTACACGCAGACCCTTTTACACACAGAAGCTTTTACACACAGAAGCTTTTACACGCAAACACTTTTACACACAGACGCTTTTACACACAGACGCTTTTACACACAGACGGTTTTACACACAGACTGTTTTACACGCAGACGCTTTTACACACAGACGCTTTTACACACAGACGCTTTTACACTCAAACACTTTTACACATTAAAAATGGTGATTGTCCCATGAAAAATTGTGATTTTCCCATTAAAAATGGTGATTCCCATGAAAAATGGTGATTGTCCCATGAAAATGGTGATTTTCCCATGAAAAATGGTGATTTTCCCATGAGAAATGGCGATTGTCCCATGAAAACCGGTGATTTTCCCATTAATAGCATGGTGATTTTCCCATTAATAGCATGGTGATTTTCCAGTTCGTTATGTAAACGTTTACCAGAGGGTAATCAACACAATCACAATTTAACTGCTTGGTGGTTTGGAACATGAACTTTATTTTCCCCAATAGTTGGGATGATGATCAATGTGACGAACTCATATTTTTCGGGGGGTAGGTATACCACCAAAATCACCAGCCAGTCTTTATCAAAATGATTAGAAGATGGTGCAAAATGGATGTTTCTTCCCAAACATATTGTGTGATTTTCCATATATTGGGAATAATAATCCCCACGGACTTTCATATTTTTCAAGATGCTTAAAACCACCAACCAGAATAGTTGACCCTACCCAAAAATGTTTCGAAATGTGCCACCTTTCCCGAGAAAATGGACGAATCCCAGAGGCTGATGAATTTCCAAGTCCGTACACAAAAGGGGAAGTGCAGTGGGGGTTTTAAAGGGTATAATAACACCATAATATAGATATATTATTATACATATACACACATATATATATAATTGTATATATATATATTTATAATATACATACATGATATGTGTGTAGTGACCTCATAAGTTGGGACGTGACCCCGTTTAGATCCATGTAGTAAGTGCATTTGCACCCCCAAGAGGTGTACATTCCTAGTCTTGTGACATAGTCTCTTTTGTTTGCAGTGGATTTGTTCATGTTGTTGTTATCGAAGGGAAGAGAGCGACGAAAGCACTGCATGGTGCAGCATGTGATAGCAGTGGAGTAGTAGTGATTGACATCGGTGCCCGATTTATCCCTAGTTTTGATGACAAGATCCCAATTCTTCACCGGTACCCGATGTATCCCTTGATGGTCAAATCCCATGAGTTCCCGTTTTCATGTAATTGGATCCCTTGAAAATCACCACGGGAAACCACCATGGATCTGGATGCAAAAAAAAAACGAAATCACCATGCGAAACCACCAAGGATCGTAGCATGGCGGCACTCCTCGCCGCTTTCCGCGCACTCGGTGGGGTCCAGTGGGGAGCTGGTGCTGCTGGTCCAGTTGGATTTCATCATGGCAGCTATGGGGGATGTTAAGGGGGTGGAGATCCATATTGATTTTCTTTTTAATGGATACATTTCTAGGTCAATCCACTAGATGGGTAGTTTATATCATCCGCTGAATCATCTTTTGGTATGGGATTCTCTACGTTCATGAGCTCAGAATTTGTCATTTTGTTACAGGGTATCTGGCTACTTGGCCATGATTTTACCAACTATAATAAACTATAATAAAGTTAGTTGGATTGGATTAACATGGTTTAATCCTCCAGTTTAACCTGCATGTCGAAGTAATGTTACTGAGCCTTGGTCGTGGAGGCGACAAAATCTCTTGAACGTTACACCGAAACGGCCAGCATCATGGCATTGCCTTTCACACTGACAAGAAGGATGGATATCTGCCAAAGGATCCAACTGCTTCATGTTCATGCAGCCTGGGTTTGGTACACGATTCACCTTAGGTCTGCAGAGAAAAGGTAGAAAGAGTAAGTGGCGGCGCGCCATGGCCCGTGCAAGTTTTGGCTTCTGTGCCTGGAATGCCATTGGCAGGTTTGGGGTACGGATGGTCGGACCACAAACCGGTACTGCCTGCCGCGCTCTCCCGTGTGTGCCCGCCTCCCAGCGGGGGAGCTGTTCATCAGGGAACCTCCCCCAGAGATGGCCCCTTGGTTCTGGAGCGGCTTTTGTTTGATCTGGCTACGTTGTATTTCTGTGTAGCGCTTGCAACTCTCAGCCCCCGGGATCCATTCTTGTGATGGGCGGCAACTTTCAAGAGCAGTTCAAGCATGCAGTCCCTACCTGTCCGGAGATGCACTGTTGGCAGATGGTCATGGATGGTCATCAATTCATAGGGATTACCCATCACAAGAATTCCCATTATGGGATGGATGAACATAAACCACACACCCTCTTTTGACCCTAGCACATGTGTGGGTTGAGCCATTTGTTGTTGTAGCTGCTAAACCCAGAGCTGTTGGTTTAAATCACCACTAAATATACGTAGGTTTTAGTTTTAAATGGTGCTGCCCCATCAAAAACGTGATGTTCGTTGATTAATGATGCTTAATGAGTTACTTAATGGGGATTTAATTGTGATTTATCATAGGGTTTTAAATCATCCACTGACAAATGATCGTTGGTTGATGATTTTGGGAGGTGTTATATTGCCCAATGTCTTGGGGGTTATCAAAATCCATTGTGGAGTCCCGTTCTTAACCAACTGGTATGATAATGGAATGACTGAGCGATTTGAAGCCTGTTCATATGTGCCATGGTCAAGTTAGGCGGATTTAATCATGAAAACTTGTGATTTAGGGATATTCATGGGGATATCATGTGGGATAGTTTCCTCTTCCTGTTCATTGGGGTTGATGTATACATATTTCAGGAGTCCCATTCATAGGGAATCCCATTTTGACGACGTTGGGATGCTCACAGCACAAATGACAATAATGATGTATTGGCTTGTATTGATTTTTTCATATTTATATAATGTTGATGAACGGTTGATAGTTTGTCATTGTCAGTTATCCCTACTAGTTGAAAATAACAGCAGAAATGATGCTGATAATGATGGTACATAGGAGCCTGGTTGATTCTTATTATCATCTTCCACACCCCATGTTTTGTTAACAATGGTCTGTCATCCTCAATAGGTAACAATAACCAACCCAGGACACTTGAAAGTTTGATCGTTTGGTTCACAATTTCACAACACGCAGCAAGACTGGTCACCCTCTCACAATCAAACGTGGCTTGCTGGAAACTTTCCATTAAGAATGAAGATTGACCCTTTGGTTATTTAACATAGCCATGGAAAATAATCACTGTTAATAGGTAAACCTCTATAAATGGGCCATTTCCCATGGCTATGTTAGTCATAACCAGAGGGTAACTGACACCATGTCCTGTTTGGTCCACCTGTTTAATAGGTAAACCACCATTTTTGATGGGTAAATCATTGGGTCATTTTCCAGTTCGCTATGTTAAATAACCAGAGGGTTTAGCTGGGAAAATCATGAAACTATGGCTGGTGGATTTTTCGGCGGAGCTGATGCCACCGGAGGGTCATAGTCCATCGTCATTGATCATCACTTATTATCTATCAACATTCTGCTGTAGGAAAATTATGTCTAATCATGATAATTGTTAATTGATTTATAGTACTTTGATATGTGATTAATGATAATGAGTAAATATTATCTAATTAAACATTTTCCATTTATGATCCATTATTATCCATTGATAATGATTGGTCATGGTTAGTATCCGTGCGTCCACCTTACTGCGTTGTTAAGTTGCTTACGGATTGTTTGCCAGGGATCCACCAACGGTTCATTCCAAAGAAGTGTTCTGCGTGTTCAAGAGAGAGTACAAAATGTTTCTTGCGTTTTTCCCTGGAAATGGTGCCGAAAAAAAAGTTTCTTTCAAAATTACATACCTACCATCACTGCAGTGAAAACTTGATGCGATTCTGAAACCTCCTGATTGATCGCCCAGGCTTGGTGAAAAATCTGAAAACCTGGTGAAAACCTGGTGAATTGACAAAACTTGGTGAAAACCTGGTGAAGTCACCAGGGTTTCACCAAAAAAAACAAAGAAGCGTTTTACACCTCCAAAATTCACCAGAAGAAGCGGTTTTCCGTTTTTGTTTGGTGAAATTTATGCGTTTTATGGTGAAATTGGGTTGAATTTGGGGAAATTCCAAAACCTGGTGATAACCTGGTGAATTTCCAAAACTTGGTGAAAATCTGGTGCATTTCCAAAACCTGGTGCATTTCCAAAACCTGGTGAATTTCCAAAACCTGGCAATAGACTTGGTGAATTTCCAAAAACTTGGTGAACACCTGGTTGTTTCCAAAGCCTCTTGAAAACCTGGTAAAAACTTGGTGAATGCCAAAACCTGGTGAAAACTTGGTTTTGCGTACTGAAGGATTCTGGTAAAACGTGTGTTGCATTCCACGCCCGAAATAGTATAGTGAAAACGTTTGTTGCCTTCCAAATTAGCAAATAAACAACTTACCCTCCAGTAAATCAACATAGACCCTGCCAGATCGGGGTTGGAAGATTAGTTTCCACTAAAAATTGGTGATTTTCAGGCTCCATGTTAGTTTACCAGAGGGTAACATACTGCGTATATCTATGAAAATCTAATCGTTATCCACACCGTTAATAGTTACCTGAGTTATTCATTCATCAATCACCAGTTATATACCTCATTAACTCGCATTACATCCCATTAAATCCCATGAAAACCCATTAAAACATCAGTTAAATCCCATGAAAACCCATTAAAACATCAGTTAAATCCCATTAAATCCCATGAAAACCCATTAAAACATCAGTTAAATCCCATGAAAACCCATTAAAACATCAGTTAAATCCCATGAAAACCCATTAAAACATCAGTTAAATCCCATTAAATCCCATGAAAACCCATTGCATCCCAATTCGCTTGCTGCGCCAGCCTATGGTACGGATACCTTACCCGCGCCGCCCTCGCAGAGCATCTTCGACCAGGCCCGGGGAACCGTGGGAAAAAAATGTGATTTAAGCAACAAACATGGGGATTGGGATTTATGTCGCTGATTTATAGCCAAGTTGACACACATAACTTGGTGAAAAACTTAGGTTTTATGCTAGAAAAAAATGCTTGATATATCGAATTAGCTCATGGGGATTCATGAGGTTTATAAACCCACCAACACTACTGGAACTCAACGTGTGGAGCTGTTAGTCACCATCATTTGATGGTGGGCAATGAACTGATTTTAGCATCACAAAATGGGCAGGGATCAAAACCACCCAATGGCGAGATAGACCGGGAATATAGAGCCAACACATGGCGGACTTGAACATCCAAATTATGGATTTAACCATGAAAAATTGGGATTTGAATGGATTTGAAGAATCCAGAATGGAAATGGATTTGCCCAGAAATTCCAGGATACCAGTTCAAGCGGGAAAATCTCAGGATTTGAAGTTTATTCCCTTGACATCGAGAGAGTTCTGCGGTAAGGACACGGCTTCACAATATATTGACCCATCCCCACAGAACCCACAAAAATACACGTGGAACATGCTCAGATGCGAATGGGATAATCCATATCCTCCGTGGTCACAGGGTCGGTTCTTCAGCCTTTCCGAGCTCGGAAATGCCAGGTGATCAACAAGGTGAAACCAGCCTTTGACCTTTTCATCGTAGCTGTCACGGAAGCCAACACCATGATGCTCGGGCCAGTCTTTGCGGGATAGTTCCGTAATTTCTACTGGGGTCCAATGGGTTTTGACAGGTCAAACTCAGATCTACGACGACCATAACGACCGCCGATCGAGGCAGAGCCACGCAATGTTCAAGGGTCATCCCCTTCTGCCGAGCGGCCAGCTCTGGAGTGCGGTTGCCCAACACCGTCGTGAAGAAGAAGAGGGTGGTATGTTCGGCAGTGAGCAGTATGACTTGGGGAGTGAAACGGACATACACATAGGGGCATATAGGCGCCCAGTCTTTCAAGGACTGCCTTACGGCCAACATGGGCTGCGCGCATGCAGCTGAGTACCTTGTGGGGTACATTGTCGCTTTGCGCATGGGGATCAAGGTTGGCCGGGTCCTACTCCGTGGTCTCATACGACGAGTTTGAAAAGCTCTCGCTCGGCCAGAGGTCTGAGTCAAGCCTAATCATAACATGTCATGTGGATATAAACAATATAAGAAAAAATGAATCAATCAACTTAAGATAGGGAGGGCAGCCTTTTCAAGCATTCTCTGAAAAACGGCCCTAAAACGGATTCTCCCCACTTGAGCCTCTAAAATTCTTGGAAAAAACCATGAAAAACCCGCAAAATGCCATCATTTCATAGGAAGAATGATTGTCGAGCATCAAATGTGCATGTTCCTGCCACCTGGGGCCCTCTAGATAGCTAATTTGATTTATGGTATAACTTCGTTAACTAGGCTTTATGAAGGATTTAACTAAAGTTGATGGGGTTCAAAAAGAAGTGAGTACTCAACTCATGACTGTTGGGCCCAACCTTACAACATGTTTAAACAAAGCCATTTGGAACAGGGTTCCCTTTAGTCACTGCTATTTTGGGCCTGAAGAAACTAAAGTCGGCCATTACAACTGGAAGTGGTCGATGGTCTTTTTTTGGGGGTGAATATGGATAGGTTTCACTATCAATGATGAATTTATTGGATTATACTGATCATACTATGATTATACTATGAACAATCCTGATATTTTTTCTGAGATCCAGCATCAATTTCATTGGACAAATCAACATTTTTCATCAAGAGATGTTCAGCAGGGTCAACCTTGGTGGCCTCACAACGGGCCGCCACATGAAAGCGAAGGATACCGAAGAGGTACGAGAAAATCATAGGTACCCTCTGGTAAACTAACCTAACTATGGAAAATCACCATTTATCATGAGTAAATCCACTATAAATGGCCATTTTCAATAGCTATGTTAGTTTACCAGAGGGTATCCACCCGCTTTTGTGTGTCATTTCGAGGAACTCAGAGAAGAAAATCGCGGTGTTGAAATGTCCCCTTTGATTTTGAACACCGAAACAGTACAGAAATGGAGGTTTCTCAAAATGGGGTTACCCCACTATGGATGCTTTATTTCATGGAAAATACTATTAAAATGGATGATCTAGGGGTACCCCTACTTTAGGAAACCTTCAATCATTACAGTGCCTTCTATTGGATCACTAATCACCGATTGACGTGATGTTTGAAATCCTCAAAGCGGAACATTTGACAACTGCAGAAGATTTGCTGCACCATTTTGGGCATACCCTACCAGTAGCATACCAAAATTTCATGTTGAAATACGATGGTTGATATTGGGATAGAAATCTCATGTTATCATCCAATATCTCTAGGTCCTCAGGGCAGTTTAATAGAACTTCATCTTTTCATATATTCCCATTTTGATGGGACAATTAAAGCAACCGATTGAAGATTTCCTTTTGAACAGGGGATCTAGGATTCGCGATGCGTCCGCCCAAAATCACCGTTTTAGATGCTCAAGTCCCAGTGTTTTCCCTAGAAAAGCCAGATATGATCTTCCGATGTCTGGGTAATTATCTGATGATTCCCCTTTTTCGCAACCACAGAAAAAAGAAACGAAGGGCTCAACGTCCTACCAAAAAAAAAATCTGAATCGTTCAGTCCTTTTTCCCTTTGGATGGTTGATGAATAGAAGGGTTATCCCCATCATCGCCAACCAATAGGTGCATTGAATGCGTCCCAGGAATGTGGTGCTGCAGGGTGACAACGTTGCTGTACAGGGCACCGAAGTGAAGAGATTGCCGCGTGGCAGCGGAATGTCGCGGAACGTTGGAGGTTTCTGGGTTTTTCATAAAACATGTGAGCCTTTTGGGTTCAATCAGCAACCAAATTGTGTTTTAAGAGTGATTATATAATGGTGGTTTAGTTGCGTTTTAAGTTTTAATGCTGTCTATTGTCTAATAATGGTTCAATGGTGTTTCATGCGGACTCAAGATTATTTATCCTCTGGTAAACTAACATAGCTATGGAAAAATACCACGTTTGATAGGTAAATCACCTTGAAATAGCAATTTCCCATACTTATTTGAGTTTACTGGAGATTATCCCATCCCATTATACTGGTTTGTTGAGAACGGGATTCCCGCAACGGAGTATGATAATTCCCTGTAATAACCAATCAACAATGGTAATTTTTAATGGCTCATGTAGTAACTGGCTCGGTCTGAAACAGGCTACTCTCTGGTGTCATCAAGCATGTAGCATGGCTAGCTGGGAAAATTATGGAACTAAATGGGAGATCACACGAATTAATAATACTTCCATGTTCCCCCATGCTCCACTATTCATTGCTTCGATTCTACGATTCTTTATTTATCCATACTAAATATACTAAATAATCGTGTTCACCATTAAAGCAGAAAGTGACTGGATGTGTTGGGATGTCTCTCCAACAAAAATGGTGGTGTTTCTGCAAGAAAATACGATGAAAATAATCATGGAAACTAGGGGTGAACCAACTGGAGAAGACATGAATTTATATGAATTTTGATCTTTTGCAATGTTCATATTCATGGGAATATTATTGCCCTGCACCGCTAAAGTGTTATATAATTGTTTGCAGGGTGTGATGGTTGAAAAAAAACATATTTAGTGGTTTTACAATGATCGTTTTATGAGTTTTGAAATGCGCGATTTAAAAAGTGGCAATAAATGATATCTTCTAAGATAAGTTTGCTAACTATCGGGATCACCACTTTATATCCCCAAGCTCTCGGTGCATTAGGTGGTCACCCAACCTTTTTGGCTCATGCTGCATCTTTACAAAGACCCCAGGACTCGACCAGTGGGATAAGCCAGGTACAAAATGATGGGTGGTACCCTAGATCTCGTGGCACATCGTCACGGGCTCCTCACATGCCAGCGTTTCCAATACTTCCATAGAGATTCGCGTCGCCAGAGCAAGTCGACTGTGTCTACGGCGGCTCCATCTGTTGTGGCTGCCGTGAATCATCATTTTGCGAACATTTTGCCCAGCGATGGATCATTGCCATGAATTTACTATGATTATCACTGATTATCCAAATGTAATCTTACTTTCAAATCAAAGATGTCCACAAAATCATCGCCATGTTTCTGCGAAAGAATTGACCCCATCCATACAGTTGGTCGTTTCCTCACCTTAATGTTTTTTTTTAATGTTGTTTTATGCATATCATGCGTTCATACTATACGACTGTGTCCCCCTAATTTATGGCTGAATGTGGCAGCCCCATATTCTTCCTCCGTGCCTGACATTGAGAGATTTTGTTGCAGAGATTTTGAACAGTAAGTTCAAGTTTAAACAATTTTGTCATATGTTGTTTTTCCAAAATTGATTATAAGGGAAACGTGTCCAAACATCTACTTCTACAGATACCCCAAACCCTCAACGGTTTGGCGCTGGAGCCCAACCCAAACACTATTACTTAATATAGGTTAATGGGACTTAATATTTCTTAATAGGAACTTAATGTGGTTCTGCTTGGTGGTTTGGAACATGCTTTATTTTCCATAATATATGGGATAATCCCATTGACGAACTCATCATTCTTCAAGATGGCTATTGCACCACCAACCAGTTATTGTTAACTGATAGCTGTTCATGATTCAATCCCCAAAGTTGTCCCATTCTTTGTGCAATTCTCATTCCATCTCCATGACGCGTCAATCCCCATCATTGGCTTTTTTCCATAGTCTTTCAACATCGTTTCCACCATTTCCTCTTGGTTTCCATAGTTTGGTTTCCATAGTTCTCCCAATGTTTTTCAGCATGTTCTCCTGCCACGACCGAGCCAATCCCCCAGCAGTTTCTGAGAGGTTTCCCAAAATGCGGGAGTCCCAAACCAAACGTTTCAATTCTAGAATGGTCTGACTTGGATGATTTTGGGCTACCTCCATAGATTCCCTCCAGATGGGTTTAATCATTTAAGATGTTGATAGATGTTGCAATTCCAGCCATACAGGATGCTGCCCCCTATGTTTTTTGGTTTATGGGGGGCCATCTAAATATATGTATTTGATGTTATTTGCGTATCATACACTATTGTTATAGTTATGTTCACCAACTTAGCTAACGAACTGTGGCACCATATCCTGCCCCAGCTGGACTTTTCAGAGCTATTCCGCCATGCAATTGCAGTTTCCTCTGTTCCAGTCATACCCCACTTTGTTTTAGACCATTTCCGAGGTACTCTGATTTATAAGCCATTATTAATATCCATTATACATGTTATATCACCTTGATTTTCCATGTATCCCATGACTATCATAGTATCATATCCCCTGAATTTTCGACTTCCGAGGTACTTTGACCAAGCCTTGTCCACCTTGGCTTCCTTCCCTGTGGGCCGGTTGGAGGCTGGGCAGGACCAACAGTTCCGCGTCAACCAGATGGCCACTTGGACCAGCAGGATGAATCACCATGGAGAAATGCTGCTGAGAAATGGTGGTTTTCAAATGCCCAAAAAAAACATGAGAAATGGATAGAAATGATGGTTTTACCATGGGTTTTCCTCTGAAAAATGGGGAAAATGATGGTTTTACTCTGAAAAATCCAGCGGGAACATGTAGATAGATTTCGGTCTTATTCGTTGGGTCGACTAAACATCAACGACCACCTGTATTGCCAATATTGCCTTCAACTATCACTGGAGTGGGTTTGGCAGATGATCAAAGAATGGTGGCTTTGACCATTCAAATGGACTATTGCATGGTGGATGCAAGAAATAATGGAACTGGGTGACTGTTCTGAAAGCGGGGCCCCCTAATCAAAGACGAAAATGTTGCGAGAAAGATAGGAATTTGTGGGTTTCGCGACCCCTTGCTTTATGTTGCGAGGTCTCTAAATCAAAAATCTTGGGTTGGGGCATAGATATACGTTACAGAAAAAGCCAAATATCATTCAGTAGAACGTAATTCAAGGAGAATTCAAGACTTGAATAGCTTCACTCGCTGATATTAGTCCTGGGATCGCAACACGAAAATCCCTTCCCCCTATTACTAAACCTCCCCCACATGAGAAAAACGAGGGGCCATCTCTAATTTTGGAAAATTTCAGGTTGGCCAATGTGACTTCTAATTGATCCCCTTTAGAAAACAAGTTAAAAATAAAGCTACCATTTGTGGGTTTCACCCCCGAATAATAAAACTAGTTAATCCCGGGGTGTTTATTGTTAGGGTCCGTGAAAATTTTAGGTTTTTTTTGTTTAAGGGTTTCAATTTATTAATAGGGTCCGCTTCGAAATACATTTTTTTGGCAATATTTTCATTGCGTTATATAAGGAAATTTCATTGATTTTGATATAAAAAATAGTTTTTTCCCGAGAGCGTCTGAGCGCAGGGTTCTTCCAATAGTGGGGGTCTGCCTCTCATCTTCTCATCTTCACATCTTCTCATCTTCACATCCTCACATCTTCACATCCTCACATCTTCACATCTTCTCATCTTCACATCTTCTCATCTTCGCATTTTCTCATCATCTTCACACATTCACACAGCCGCGAAATTTTGTGCAAGGTTTGATTCGCTTGGCCCAGGCCTGTTGGCTTTGGATGAATTGCATGACAAAGGAGTTTCTACGCAGCTGCTTTACTGCGTGGCATCATGAGTGCGGCAGCTTAGTGAACATTGTACTACTTGGCAGTATATGGCAGGTCCGATCGAGTTTCCGAAGATAACATGACGGGGCCACACAACTTCGGCATCTGCTTCCTAGCTCTAGTTGCTTGATCATCGAATCTCCCTTTCTCAGCCTTTGACAAAGGGATACAATGGCCATCCTCACATCTTCACATCTTCTCATCTTCACATCTTCTCATCTTCACATCTTCTCATCATCTTCACACATTCACATCTTCACATCTGTTCATCTTCACATCTTCTCATCCTCACATCTTCACATCTTCACATCTTCTCATCTTCACATCTTCACATCTGCTCATCTTCACATCTTCTCATCCTCACATCTTCACATCTTCTCATCTTCACATCTTCACATCTTCTCATCTTCACATCTGCTCATCTTCACATCTTCACATCTTCACATCTGCTCATCTTCACATCTTCTCATCCTCACATCTTCACATCCTCACATCTTCACATCTTCTCCTCTTGCCTTCTTGCCCTCTTGCCCTCACATTTTCACATCTTCTCCTCTTGCCCTCTTGCCCTCTTGCCCTCTTGCCCTCTCCTTCTTTTCTATTTCCCTTCTGAAGGCGGGGGCAGGGGCAGTGCCAACGAGACGGCACGAAACGCAACCTTTTCGCACGAAATGAGGTTCGATCGCCAAAAACTGAGGTAAAATTGTGATTTCAAGGTGTCCGGCGCAACCCTTTCGCACGAAATGAGGTTCGATCGCCAAAAACTGAGGTAAAATTGCGATTTCTCTTGTCTAATCGCGACCATTTCGCATGAGATGAGGTTCAATCGCCCAAAACTATAGCAAATTGCGATTTCCTGTGTGTAAAAGCGTCTCTGTGTAAACGCGTCTGTGTGTAAAAGCGTCTGTGTGTAAAAGCGTCTGTGTGTAAAAGTGTTAGTTTGTAAAAGCGTCTGTGTGTAAAAGCTTTTGTGTATAAAAGCGTCTGTGTGTAAAAGCGTCTGTGTGTAAACGCGTCTGTGTGTAAAAGCGTCTGTGTGTAAACGCGTCTGTGTGTAAAAGTGTTAGTGTGTAAAAGCGTCTGTGTGCAAAAGTGTCTGCGTGTAAAAGTGTTTGTGTGTAAAGGCGTTTGTGTGTGAAAGCGTCTGTGTGTGTGCAAGCGTCTGTGTGTAAAAGTTTTTGTTTGCAAAAGTGTCTGTGTGTCAAAGTGTTTGTGTGTAAAAGCTTCTGTGTGTAAAAGCGTCTGCGTCTAAAAGCGTCTGTGTGTAAAAGCGTCTGTGTGTAAAAGTGTCTGTGTGTAAAAGTGTCTGTGTAAAAGCGTCTGTGTGTAAAAGCTTCTGTCTGTAAAAGCTTCTGTGGGTAAAAGCTTTGTGTGTAAAAGCGTCTGTGTAGAAGCAGCAGTGTGTAAAAGCGTCTGTGTGTAAAACTGTCTGTATGTAAAAGCGCTTGTGTGTAAAAGTGTCTGTGTGTAAAAGTGCCTTGTGTGTAAAAGCGTCTGTGTGTAAAAGCGCCGGTGTGTAAAAACTTCTGTGTGTAAAAGCTTCTCTGTGTAAGGGGTTCTCTGTGTAAAAGTTTGCTCTGTGTAAAAGCTTCTGTGTGTAAAAGTGTTTGCAATGCAAACTATTGTCTTGTACTTGTGCTATATTGTCTTGATACTCCTCTTCTCGACTGCCTATAACACATCTTTAATATATTGTTTTGTAATATGGTGTCTCCATACTAACAAGAGAAGACCCTGCTCTACGCTCTCGCGCCATCCATCGTCTAGTTTTTAAAGGTTTCAATTGGTTATTAGGGATCCCTAATAATAAATACCACCCTAAGAATAAAAACTACCTGAGGTGTTTATTATTTGGGGGGGTTAGTATTAGGGGGAAGGGATTGCTAGGATGGCGGCTCTGGATGGCCCCCAGCCCCGGTGGTTGGCTGGCGCAGTATTTCTCCAACGCAGTGAGTGGTGTAAAGTAAAACACAAGGAAAAACACACACCCCATTGATTGCAGATCCATTCTGGTTGGTGGTTTCAAACATGGTTTTATTTTCCATGTCATATATGGGATGTCATCCTTCCCATTGACGAACTCCATCACTTTTCAAGATGGTTATTGCACCACCAACCAGCATTGGTAATTCGTACTCCATGTTTTGAGCCATGTCCACAACTCGCGCCGAAAGACTTCGGAGAATCTCAGGATTCTGGGGAGTTTTTTTCTGTCGCTGTTCCCATGTGCCATGGACAAACTTCAGCAAAGCGAGTTCGATCTTGCAGGTGATCAGTTGCGAAAAACACTTGTCCCATCCCAGGACAACTTCAGAATGGTGGAACGCATGGGGAAAATGATGATAAACAAATAGGACTATGGATGACGAAAATGGGTACCCCCATTTTCTGACCCACATCATTGGGACATGAGAAGAACCAGAGGAAAAAAGTCACCAAGAACTCGGAGTCAGCCAGTAAAAATGTGACTTGTAGATGAGCGATCTCATGGTGATACATCCACTATGAGTATGGTTTGACTAGTTCTTACAGTCTGTTTTTTTCTAGTTGGTTCAAGGTTGAATGTGAAGTGATCCATGAACTGAGAATCACGTTCCTTTTCAGCATTTCTCAGGTGAAGTTGTCCTTCATGTTCATCTATGACATCACGGCCACTTGACGTTTGGGGGACGCAACTGTACCAGCTGTTCGAAAGTCACAGATTTGACCGATGGGTTGATGGGTTTGCTTGAAATGCTTGAACATAGCGTTTTTTCTTGAACCCCATCATGACTTGCTGGTTGGTGGTTTCAAACACGGCTTTTATTTTCCATAATATATGGGATAATCCTTTCCATTGACTTTCATATTTTTCAAGATGGTTGAAACCACCAACCAGCCATCATGACTTGGAAATCCCCCATGACTTAAAGCCCTAGACCGCCCTAGGCCACAACCACCACGCTACAGAATTCCATCGCGGAGTTTGATGCGGTGCACCTAATGCTGAAGGATGGAGGCGCTACAGCGAAGCTGCGTGTTGCTGCGCGCTGAGCTGAACGCAGCTTGATAACCATGGGAAATCAATCTCATGGCGTGGATGATTTTGACTGATGGTTTGGGAATAAACATATAAATTGGATATGGCAAATATTGCAAATCATCAATAAATCATCTATAAATGAGCCTGGTTGGTGGTTTGGAACATGACTGGATTCTGACTTTCCATTCAGTTGGGAATGTCATCATCCCAACTGACGAACTCCATCATTTTTCGGATAGGTAGGTCAACCACCAACCAGAACAGAAATGGTTCATGATGGTTTATCATTGATTTATCTATCAAAAATTGCATTGGAAATAACCAATTTATGATTTACCATCTATGTTCATGGGCCATGGTTTCCATAGCTATGTAACAAATCACCAGAAAGTAAATAAGCTTGATGAACACAGAGTTGATCAACAGCTTACAACTGGCTATTTAAAAAAGCAATAGTAAGATGTGTTTGCGTTTTTTTTGGGCTGGGAAATGATTTTTTCATCACCAGTTCTAGCTGTTGATGTTGATGCGACTAGCCGGTTTCAAAGGTTTGCAGGGCCGTGAAAGCAGCAGACAAGTTTTAGTGTCAGGAAAGCCTTGGTTCACCTTTGGTTGATGTAGGTTGGTGGGTCATGGTTTCTTGAGGGGATCCACCTGGTGTCCGTGCCATAGGGGAAGTGTTTGCGGGATATCACCACTGTAGCCACTGATCAACTCGCAGAGGCAGTGATGTGCAAGGGCAAAGACTTAGGGAAAATTCTTATTTTGCAGAAGTGAGTGATTTCACCAACACTTACATGTTTTTTTACTTTTTTTGCATGAACTGAGTGATGTTTAAAGAAAGGTATGTTCCTCTTGAAGAGTTTGCAGACTTTATGGTCAATGGATTGGTCCAAGGGAAAATTTACAGGAAAACCCTATATCTGGTTGGTGGTTTGGAAAATGGCTTTTATGACTTTCCATTCAGTTGGGAATGTCATCATCCCAACTGACTTTCACTCCATCATTGGAGGGGTAGGTCAACCACCAGCCAGATATATTATCAACCATCATTAATCATCATCATGAACCATCATCATTAACCATCATCATGAACCATCATCATAGTGGTTTCCGGTGTCGATGTTCCCCAAAAAACACATATCCATGGATCCGGGGGAAACCCCGTCGCCGATCACAAGCGACCTGTCGCAGGTCCGGACATTCCGGCCATCGTCGACCAACGGGACGATCTCCTCACCCAGTGGAGTCGTGTGGATGGCGCCTTGATGGAACACCCGCCGGTGGTGGATGGTTGGCACTTCAAAAATGGCGGTTCAACAAAAATATAGAAACATGGACCATGGGAAATCCATTTTCCAGTTCGCAAACTCTTAGTTTACCAGATGGTTTAAGTGGGGTAAATCCACTATAACTAGATCAATCGACTAGATGGGTAGAAACTAACCCGCTATTGTCTTTTGGTATGGGATTATCTACGTTCACCAGCTCAAAAATTATTTTTGTTGCAGGGTATCTAAGATTGGCCATGTTTTGGAACCATGAAACATTGCAAGTTGATGTAATTTGTATGGAATGCAGTTGGGAAAGGCCTTCGGAAAGCTGCCTTGAGGTTTGGGTGGTTCGCCCGAAAATCTCATACTCTAAGTTTCAATTTCTCCTCGTAACAGCTTCGCAAACCCCTTTGAGTGTGGACTCCATATTGAGGGCATTTCCACAACTCTTAAAGCTGCCAAAACAACCCCCCTGAGACAAAGCAAAATTGACCTCACATCGGGAAGTCACTAGAATGGTGGTGAGGCATGGGGGAATCATCCGCAAAATGGCGAACTAGTTTTTGAGCTTGGTGAGTTCTTATACTTTATCCATATTTATCAGGGGTTGGTAAATGTCCCATTTTGGGAATATTGGACATCACCTTATAGTAGCCATTATAGACCATATACCTAATGGTTGGGTGATGTTCAATGGGGACATTTAATGGCCCATATTTATCCACATTCGGGGGAAAAGTCCCTATGTTTGACGCACGTTTTTGCACCACATCTTGGCTGGAACTGTAAATCGGCATCAGCATGCAATTGAGCTATTAAGAATACCACGGTATCTGACTGGTTATGAACCAGGGATTTATATGGGCTTTAAACATCAAAAATGAAGATATAACATGATATAACTGAAAAATGATGGTTGATTGGTTATGAAATAGGGGATTATACTGGTGTGTTTGCGGGATTCTAATATGATAACACATAGGAGGGAAACTGTTGAAACAACCGATAGGGGCATGTTCAATGGCGAAAATGGCAATTTTGGCGTATCCCCCAAAATGTTGAGACATTATCTAGATGGTTCTTGACTATCCGATTACAACCCAAAAAATGTTTCATTGTATCTTCAAAATATCAGCGTTGCCACATTCACGCCACAATGTCACAATTATCCATTTTCAGAGACGCACGACGATGTCCATGGTTCGAATGGGATCATATTCCCATTCAAATGGATTTGAATCACCATGATCAAAAAATCCCAAAAAATGTCACCAGCAACTATCCACGATCTAAGATATCTAAGCTTGGCATTGATCAGAGGAAGCTCAAAATTATTGACTTAAAAACTATCCCCAGTCATCCCCAACAGATTTTTTTTTGAATCAACTAATCCCCAGTAATTCCCAGTCATCCCGATGAACAGCTATTCAGGCTTATTCACCACGGCTACTCACCACCGGGCTTCTCCAACTCATGGCAACATTTATCCGTTACCCGTAGCTGTGTAGCTGTAGCTACATGATATTCTCATGAAAAAAATATCTAATTCATATCCCATGGATCAATGGCCATGCAACAGAAACCGATTGATTGGAGGTACCTACCATACATTTTTGGCCTATTGTTTAGGCCTATTTTTCAGGGAATATCCCCACAAAATATGGCCAAAAATATAGTGCTAACGTACCTCCATCAATTGGATCCTGAAATTCCCATTGACCATTGTTAGTAAAGATACTGTGGATGGTTGCGAATTCCCGCACCACCAAAAGGATGGTTGAACCCCATCCAAAATAATGGGATGTTGTTCCCACCGTTTTCAACTGGTGATGAACGGATTTCGCTGGCCCATCCACCGTCGCGTGTCACAATCTCAGAAAAAACCACCACCCATTGTGAACCACAGGATCATCCAGATCCAGCTGCAGGATGGTGCCCCCCAGTTATAAGTTGGTTTATAAACCCCATTAACTATAGTTATATCTGCCATAAACCATAGTTATGGGAGTTATAAACCAACTTAGCTAACTATGGGGCACCACCTTGTGAGGAAAGTGGAAAGAACTTAAACAACTTCTTCTGACGCGAAGCGTTGCAGTCCCTTGGCCACGCAACGACCCGAATAATTGGTTGCTGGGCCAAAACAGAAAACCACAGCATCGTTTTTTAGGACCCAAATAGTAAAAGTTGGAAAGCTGGAAAATATGTAAAAAATGCAATATAAATACCAGCCTGTTGCTATAATTTTTGTGATTGATATGAAAAATGAGGATGTAACCATCAAAAATGGGCTGTAAAGCATAGAATTAAAGTGATGATCAGATAATTGACTTATAATAATTAACTTTCAAAGATTGGTTTTCATAGGGTATAAATGAATATCCCTGGGTTTGGGATTTTCGATTTGTATCATCTCTCAAGGATTTGACCATAGTCAGCCACTCAAAAATCCAAAAGTCGTTCATGGCAAAGATCGCAAAAAAAAAAAACGGCCCTTTTTCATCATGGTGTATCATTCCTGGTTGGTGGTTTGCAACATTTTTTCCATATATTGGGAATAATAATAACTGACTAATATTTTCAGAGGGGTTGAAACCACCAACCAGTTATGATAATACGGGGGTTCCATGGATGGGGTTACCCTAGGATGGTTTATTTCATGGAAAATCCTAACCTAAAATGGATGATGACTGGGGGGATTTCACTACTGTCCTATATGTGATATGATGTTTTGTTCATCGTTGATTTATTCAATAATGTTCAAATGTGTTTTTGTCAGTTGATAATGAAAGTCGCCGTAAAATACTTGATGATAGATGTTTTTAAGAAACGTGAGTTTTAAGAATTTGATTTGGACGTTGGGAAACCACATGTTTTGCAGATATGGTTGCGTCCAAACTGAGGGGATGCTCGTCATATTTTATTGCAATGTAACGGGTAAACTGTAAAAAAAGCCATCAACTTGGGTGGGTACTCTTAACAAACCTTGGAGTCTCACTTTTTAATAGCCCTCAGCCCTGGTTGATAAGTCCCCTCATTGGGTTCTCACATGTACAACTTGCTTTTAATTCCGCGAGCCTATGGATGAATCCCTGCTATTCTCTTGGCCCATTTTCAGCAGAGGCATCTGGAAATCATGAAAATCTACGGATATCCAACGGGGAGATCATGAGGAAGATAACATATCCACATGAAACCCCCAGTACCCTCTGGTAAACCAACATGGCTATTGAAAATGGCAATTTATAGTGGATTTACCCATTAAAAGTGGTGATGTTCCATAGTTATGTTGGTTTACCAAAGGGTATATCATCTTGACATAGCCGTTTTCTCTGAAAATAGTTCAAAATATGTCATGGTTCAAAAGTTGCAAACCTCATGTTGCCGAATAAGTTGCTGGCTAGCCGCTAGCAATGCGAGCATTCGCCCAGCATTGTCAGCACCACCCTCAGGACGTTCCGAACTTGCAGGCCACCAAAGATATTCTCATCGAGGACTCTGGTGGGTGGTGTTTCAGATGTGTTTCGCATCATTTCCTGTGGCATCCGTATTGTCAGTGGTAGGAAAATGGTGATTTAAGCAGCAAAAATGGTGGAAAATGGTGATACTATGGGATATAATGATATATACTGTGGGATATTTGGATGAATTATAGTGACCTCACGTCGTTTTCCGTCACAATGATGGCTAATGATGGGAATTGGATTCGGGGAATCATCTTAGCTGGCTCTATGGTTTGCCAGCTATTTTCAGGTCAGTAAATTCGTCAGCCAGAATCTCTGCATTGCGCATTGCGGTTGCATCCACCAAGGTGGCCTTTTCATAGTGGGCACTGGGAACCAGCTTCGAAAAATTGTGAACTCCCCATGGCCGTGACGGCAACGTGTTATTTTCTACTTGCAACCCCAGGTTTATCCTCTGGTAAACATACAAAAAGCTATTGAAAATGGCCATAGAAATAGTGGATTTACCCATTGAAAATGGTGATTTTCCATAGTTGTTTGTATGTTTACCAGAGGGTATCACCATGGCTATTCAGGAAATCCAATTGCACCTACAAAGTTCACCGAATTGCGCAGGCCATGTAAGTCGGCACTGCGCTTCACCAAATCTTGTGCCATCACTGTGAAACAGCCTGCTCCGTTTTGCGTTTGGCGATTTGGAAGGAAGCAACTTCGGCTAAAATCGAGGTACGTCCCAAATCGCAAATCAGGACCTGATGATCCGTTTTTGGAGACAGGTTCACCCAAAACATATATAACGTTGGAACACTGTGGATATACTTAAGAAAGTGCAGCTGCGGGCTCTGGGCCAGCAGCCCAGACTGCCAAACGTCACTTTCTGAAGTGACTAGAAACTAGCTCCAAACCTTGCCTTTGCGTGCCGTGCTGCGCTGCCAGCTTCCAACTTGCTGGCTGCGTCTTGCAGCTGCGGGCCCTGGGCCAGCAGCCCAGACTGCCAAACGTCAGTTTCGGAAGTGACTAGAAACTAGCTCCAAACCTTGCCTTTACCTGCCGTTTTGCACTGCCAGCTTCCAACTTGCGTCTTGCAGCTGGCTTTCGTCTTGCACAGCTCGGGTCCAAGGACCCTGTCGCAGGGCTAAAACACCATGGCAATGAAGGACGGATCGGGCCCGCGGCCAAAACACCATGGCAGTCCTTCCTCTTGCCCCTCTTGCCCCTCTTGCCCCTCTTGTCCCCTCTTCTCTGACGCGCTCCCCCGCTGCCGGCAGGGGTCGGCGGATACATTATATATATCTCTCTCTCTCTGTCTCTCTGTCTATCTATCTATCTTAGTATGTCTTATCTTATCTTAACTTATCTTATCTATCTATCTTATCTTGTCTTATCCTATCCTATCCTATCTTATCTATCTAATCTTATCTTTCTATCTATCTACCTATCTATCTATCTATCTATCTATCTCCTATCTATCTTTCTATCTATCTTTCTATCTATCTATCTATCTATCTTTCTAATCCTATCTATCTAATCTTTTCGATCTTTCTAATCTTACTGATCTTTCTATCTATCTATCTATCTATCTATTTATCTTTCTATCTATCTATCTACCTATCTATCTATCTACCTTTCTAATCCTTTCTATCTATCTATCATATAATATATACATATATGTAATAATCACACACCATATATACCACAGATGTTTTGTATCCACGTCGAACGCAGGAAATGATCGTCCTACAAGGGCTGTTTGCCATTCCGGATCAGCCTGTAGCAGAGACGTTTCCGTGGATGTTTGTTTCTTGGCCGCTGGGGACGGTTGATAATGATTCACCGGCCATAGAGTTGATTCACCCATGAAAAATGGTGGTTTTCCATAGAAAAATAAGGCGTAAAATTGGTGGTTAATAGTGGTCAATAATGATTAATAATGGTGGTTAATGATTATTAATGGTTAATAGTGGTTAGTAGTGGTGGCTATTGGTGGTCAATAGTGGTTAATAGTGGTTAATGATGGTTAGTAGTGGTGAATGATTAATAGTGATGGTTAGTAGTGGTGAATCATGGGTTATTGATGGTTATCCTCTGGTAAACATACAAAAAACTATGGAAAATCACAATTTTCAATGGTAAATCAACTATTTCTATGGCAATTTTCCATAGCTTACTGTTATAGCTTACTGTTAAATTACCAGAGGTAACCATTCTGAGTCAATGAATGTCAAGACCTCACGTCCTCCAGAAGCCTTGAATCATGGTGAATGTATAGGGGAATGATTCCCCGAAGGCTTATTTCAGGATAGTGAATTATTGTTTTTGTTTTTAATTAATATTATTATTATTTAGTGGTTTATTATGAATCAGGATGGGGATGCTTTGCCATTAGATTCTACAACATATATATATATATAGCAACTGCCCAAAAGGATGCAAAATAAAAGGACCGGATAACCCCACATGTCAAGCCTTTATGTATGTAAGATTTTAATGTGAACTTCGGGGAGGTGTGAGAAGTGAGGTGTGAGAAGTGGACTTGTGATGTCAGGTGTGAGAAGTGGAGCTGTGATGAGTTCTGATGTGATAAGTGAGGTGTGAGAAGGGGTGTGAGAAGTGGAGCTGTGATGGGATAAGTTGTGATAAGTTGTGATGAGAAGTTGTGATGTGATAAGGGAGCTGTGAGAAGTGAGGTGTGAGAAGTGGAACTGTGATGAGTTGGGATGTGATAAGTTGCAATGAGTTGTGATGAGAAGTGGACCTGTCAGAAGTGGACCTGTGATGAGTTGGGATGTGATAAGTTGTGATGAGTTGTGATGAGAAGCGGACCTGTCAGAAGTGGAGCTGTGAGGAGTTTTGATGAGCAGTGGAGCTCTGTGTATTGCGCCTGCCACGCAAGGCTCTGTGTCTGTGTACGGCTGGCTGCCAGGCAAAAGGCAGCCGCGGGCCAGCGGCGGCCACCGCGCCGTAGCTCCTCCAGGAAGCTCTGTGTACTGCGCCTGTCACGCAAAAGGGAAGTGCGGAGGCTCTGTGTACTGCGCCTGCCAGGCAAAAGGCAGCCGCGGGCCAGCGGCGGCCACCGCGCCGCAGCTCCTCAAGAAAGCTCTGTGTACTGCGCCTGCCACGCAAAAGGGAAGCACGGAGGCTCTATGTACTGCGCCTGCGGCGGCCACCGCGCTGCAGCTCCTCCAGAAAGCTCTGTGTACTGCGCCTGCCACGCAAAAGGGAAGTGCAAAGACTCTATATGTACTGCGCCTGCAAGGCAAAAGGCAGCCGCGGGCCAGCGGCGGCCACCGCGCCGCCGCCAGGAAGCTCTGTGTACTGCGCCTGCCACGCAAAAGGGAAGTGCGGAGGCTCTGTGTACCGCGCCTGCCAGGCAAAAGGCTATGTACTGCGCCTGCCACGCACAAGGGAAGTGCGGAGGCTCTGTGTACTGCGCCTGCCAGGCAAAAGGCAGCCGCGGGCCAGCGGCGGCCACCGCGCCGCAGCTCTGCCAGGAAGCTCTGTGTACTGCGATCCTCCAGAAAGCTCTATGTACTGCGCCTGCCACGCACAAGGGAAGTGCGGAGGCTCTATGTACTGCGCCTGCAAGGCAAAAGGCAGCGGGCCAGCGGCGGCCACCGCGCCGCAGCTCCGCCAGGAAGCTCTGTGTACTGCGCCTGCCACGCAAAAGGGAAGTGCGGAGGCTCTGTGTACGGCGCCGGCCAGGCAAAAGGCAGCCGCGTGTACTGCGCCTGCCACGGAAAAGGGAAGTGCGGAGGCTCTATGTGCTGCGCCTGCCAGGCAAAAGGCACCGCGCCGCAGCTCCGCCAGGAAGCTCTGTGTACAGCGCCTGCCACGGAAAAGGGAAGTGCGGAGGCTCTGTGTACTGCGCCTGCCAGGCAAAAGGCAGCCGCGGGCCAGCGGCGGCCACCGCGCCGCAGCTCCTCCAGAAAGCTCTGTGCACTGCGCCTGTCACGCAAAAGGCAGCCAGGAAGCTATCTGTACAGTGAGTGAGTGCGTGCGTGCGTGCGTGAGTGAGTGAGTGAGCGAGCGAGCGAGCGAGCGAGTGAGTGAGTGAGTGCATGAGTGAGTGAGTGAGGCGGCGCGGCGGCGGACGGAGGAGAGCGGCGGGATCCAAGCGAAAAACAAGAACCCCACACAGTGATGTGGGGAAAAATCACAGGTTAATTTAGCTTGAGCAATGAAAATTGGAATTTCTTGCCCATAAGACATAGCTGCTCCAAGCGAATATACCATTGACAAATGATGATCGATGATTTTTTAAACAATGATTTTTAAAGGGATTATCCTTCATCCACTATTGTGGATGATCATAATCTACAAAAAAAATCCTATCAACCAGGCAGTTCTTGGTAAATGATAGCCACAATGGAAATTGCAGCCGTTTACCTCTTTATGTGGGGTATATGGAGTCGCAACCATGTAAGATGGGGAACATCAGAGATCGTCATATTGCCACAAGAAATGTTTGCAATACATGTGCAAAGTCATAATTGAAACGCCATTCCCAAGAACGCCGGACTGGGTCCGCCATGCAAGCTCCGTTCGACGCGAACGGCCTCAACCAGATCCAGTCGTATCTGACGAGGAAGCAGCCTGAGAGTATGGACTTGTTGATGGATGTGATGAGGCAAAGCGATACTATGCATGAGAATGAGTTCATCATGAGGTGTTGGCCACACACGGGATTTGGCATCAATGACAAAACTCGGAGTTGATACTTGATGTGCAGCACCTACGGAGACCACCCACACCGTGGCTTTCAAAAAGGTCAGGCATCTGTGCCATAGTATGCCATAGTCAAGTTAGTTGGATCAGATTAACCCAGTGCTGGGTGATCATCAACCCATAAAGGGGATTGACAAATTCCTTTCATTCGTTTGGATTCCGGTGATTGTTTTCCCTACACCCCTGGAAAACCATCTGAAAAAACAACTTTTGACCATGGAACAGGACGGAAGGTGCTCCGAAGTGCCACATTGGTTTTTGACATTAGCTCTTTGACCCTGCGGAGTAATAAAAGGGCTAATTAATGTCCCATTATATTCCAGTACCCTTTGGTAAACTAACATCACTATGGAAAATCACCGTTTTAATGGGTAAATCAACTATTTCTATGGCCATTTTCAATAGCAAACTCTTAAATTACCAGAGGGTAACAATGTTTTGCTCCAGGTCCAAGCGCTCAACCAGGAGATATTTCCAGCGTCGGCAGTGTTGAAAGCCCCAGCGACGATGATTTATCGCGCGGTTATATGTTCCCATTCAAAAGTTGTATTTGAATATTATATATACATATAAATATACATATCTATATACATATGTATATATACATATACATACACATATACATATACATATATATATATACATATATATATACATTTACATTTACATTATACATATACATATGTATATATACATATACATACACATATACATATACATATATATATATACATATACATATACATATACATATACATATGTATATATACATATACATACACATATACATATACATATATACATATATATATACATATATATATACATATACATATACATATACATATACATATACATATACATATGTATATATACATATACATATACATATACATATATATATACATATATATATACATTTACATTTACATATACATATACATATACATATATGTATATACATATATATATATACATATATATATATTTGAATCACTATATATCTAGATGCTTTAACTTGCATAGGATGCCACCGAAAATTCCCTCACACCACGGTTTCAGGTGGCCTACGGAGCCATGGGCCTTTTCCTCTTGTCTTGCGCCTGCGGTGCCGTCTATATCCATTTTGTCTCACGCAGGAAAAAGATGCTCGGCTTTGGATTTTGACAAGTGGATTTTGATGGCGGGATCTATGAAAAATGGAGTTTTCACCAGGGGAATTAAACATCAAAAATAGAGGTACACCTTAAATTGTTAAATTGTGGTTGGTTGGTTGACCCTTTTCAACCGTGAAAAATTCGGATATAGCCTGATTGGTCGCCAGAAATTAATCGGTTGGTCACGACTGGGTTTGAACACTGGCGAAAGCAGAGCAGAAGTCAGATTAAACCCACCATAATAGGGAAATGTGGAGATAGTGGGAACGAAAAAGCCATGGCATTGATTGAAAAATTTATCTCTGGATACACCGTTTATGATGAAGGGTAGTTACGAGTAGTTTGATGCTTCATTGCCGGATTTCCAGGTTTAGATGTGGAAAAAAACACTGTTTTGTAGATGGTGTTCCTAAGGAAACCATGGGTTTTCCACATTTTTTCGATGAGAATCTCTTGATCAAACCAGCTACAGTATTTTTCTTTGCAACGTTGAGTCACACCAATTTCCGGTGAAAATATCGCCCTCATTATCCCTCATTCACAGATCAATGGGTGAAAAAACACCATGAAAATGCCATATGGAAATCACAAACGCTTGCGAAATGACGGTTGCTGGCTGACAAACCTCCAATTTTTGGACTGGCCAATAAGGATAAAAAATAAGCATTATTATGGTGGGTTTATGGTGATTAATAGGATAATCAATCATTAATGGGATGATCTAAGAATTATAGTGATTAATAGTGATACCAGTGGTTAACATTAATTAATGGGTAAAACAATGCCATAAACCCATATCAACCCAGCATCAGACAGTCAGACAAACCATGAATTTATAGGTGGTATGGTGCCCCCATTCCCAGGAAAATGGGCGGTAAAAATGACATTGCTTTACCCAGTCATAGGAATGCCGAATGACCATCCAGTCGAAAGAAAATGTTTCAGGCGGAATTTCGACCGAAACGAGCACCAAAAAGGATGCATTTTGAGGAGTAGCCTCTGGTAATCAAACATGTATAAATCCAGAAATCCACTATCAATGGGTTTCTGATTGGGAAGATAAACTTTAAAAATGGATGCTATAAAAACTCCATGGTCACAGTTCTTGAGGATCTGGAGGATACCATCTAAGATAGACCCGGAAAATCATCGCCAGTGAAGTAGTCTTGCAATCCCTTAGTTGACAGAGTTTATGTCATCAGGGCCTGGATATGAGCTCTTTGATGGTCATATCTCCACAAATCTCCAGGTGGTTGGTTTTTTCGAAACGCGGCTTGCGTGTACTAAGGGCGAATTTCAACCATTGGTACTATGGAGGTGTCCTAAAAATACCTGGGTACCCCCGGTTCGCCTCCATTTTTGCTTGGGATTTTCCATGGGATTTTCCATAAACCATCCAGCGAGCTTGGGGTTTTTCACCATGGCTATGGAAACCCTCTTATTCAAACCCAGGTCACCCTTTTCTGGGGGTCGTGGGGGATGCCTTGGAAAAGGAAGTGACTTCCCCTCAGCCAACAGTTGGCATGTATCTTGATCCTTTTTGGGTATGAGTATAAGCTAATTTAATAGATGAATCAATGGTAATTAATGGTGATCAACCGTGATTAATAATGATTAATGGTAGCTAATGATTAATAGTGATTTTCATGGAAAATGATCTACAAATCTAGGTCAATTTTTGCTTGGGATTTTCCATGGGATTTTCCATAAACCATCCAGCGAGCTTGGGGTTTTTCACCATGGCTATGGAAACCCTCTTATTCAAACCCAGGTCACCCTTTTCTGGGGGTCGTGGGGGATGCCTTGGAAAAGGAAGTGACTTCCCCTCAGCCAACAGTTGGCATGTATCTTGATCCTTTTTGGGTATGAGTATAAGCTAATTTAATAGATGAATCAATGGTAATTAATGGTGATCAACCGTGATTAATAATGATTAATGGTAGCTAATGATTAATAGTGATTTTCATGGAAAATGATCTACAAATCTAGGTCAATCGACTAGATGGGTAGTTTTACTCGTCCGCTGAATCGTCTTTTGGTATGGGATAAAAACTACGTTCACCAGCTCAAAAAAAAATATGTTTAACCATCATTAACCAGCATTAACCATCATTATATAACCATTCTTAACCATTAATCATCATCAACCATGATTTTTAATCAGCCATGAAAACAAGCAGGGTATCTAAGATTCGCTATATGTTGTTTTTGATGTTTAAATCAATGGTCATTTCAGGAACCTAAAATGGAGGTACGTTAGTACCATATGTTTGGCCATATGTTGTGGGTATATTCCCTGAAAAATAGGCCTAAAAAATAGGCCAAACATATATGGTAGGTGCCTCCAATCAATCGGATCCTGAAATTCCCATTGATTAAAGTAAGTTCGACAACTGTGGTTTGACTCTATCTCAGCACTGCAAGAGACTCGGATGGTTAAATGAGTTGTAACAGATCTTTACAGCCATCACTTGCCAAAAATCATGAATGTCTGTTTGAGATAACATGGGTCCGAAAATGTTGGGTTCCATCTTCATGTATACATGAAATAAAGATAGAAATAATATATATATGTATAAATCACTGTCCCTGAAAAAATCTGCAATTTCTGGGTTCAACCTCCCATTCTTGAACGATCCCCTATTGGTCAAAGCCTCATTCTTCAGTTCTTTTGAGGTTCCCATTTCGACAAATCTATAGTTATGAGCTGGTGGAATCAAACCCATTTCATTCTTTTGAGCTTCCCATTTTATAGTTACTGAAGCTTTCCCTAAAATGATTGGTAAATCCTATGATATCCCAATCAATTGATGCTTTTCCCATGGTTTTTGTCATTCTATTCCCACTAGATCCCCATTGCATTGTGGATTTTCCCATGGTTTTCCCATGTTTCTGTCCCATCGTTGGGTTCAATGCCGCTCTCCAACACGGCCTGAGGAGCACCCAGAACCAAAATGGCTGGAGCCAGGCTTAGTCTGACCCAGCGCTTGCGGGGTGAGAGCGCAACCCATGACGTAGCGATTGTTTTTTCCGTTTTTTTGAAAGGAAAACCTGGTTGATGAATAGGATAAATATGCTAAATTAATTTGAATGAGGGAAGATGTTGATAATCGACTGGAACTTGGGGATTAAAAACCAATTCGCTGGGAAATTTAGAAGATTTCATACTCAATAATTAGGATTTAAGGGTCATGATTGGATTGCAAGCAATTACCCTCTGGTAAACTAATATAACTATGGAAAATCACCGTTTTTAATGGGTATATAAATCAACTATTTCTATGGCCATTTTCAAAAGCAAACTGTCAGTTTACCAGAGGGTATTCTGGATAGATTAAGACGCCGTCACTGCCACGTCCGTAACGTAAAGGATGGTTTGGATTGGGGTAGCTCTGACCCCCAATGGCCGAACTGTTCAGATTTCGCCAGATCAGTAACGATAATAGTGATATTTGAACTATATATGGTTGTGGGAAATCCAATAATCAACTAATACCAACTATACTAAATTATCCAGATAAACCATTATATCACCTATAAACTATAGTTATTGGGTTTATTTCAACCAACTTAGCTATCATAAATCAGCTATAACCCCCAATAAAAATACTGCAGGAACAATTCCCAACGGTTCACGCCTTCGGCCTTCGCTCTCCTGGGGGCCAATTTTTTTTTCGGTCGGAAAGTCCCCCAGGGACTTCGATGATCCCAGTTGTTTTTGATTTTGAAGGAATCTACCCTCTGGTAAACTAACATAGCTATTGAAAATGGCCATTGAAATAGTGAGTTTTCCCATTAAAAATGGTGATTTTCCATAGTTATGTTAGTTTACCAGAGGGTATATACAAGGTGGTGCCCCAGTTCGTTAGCTAAGTTGGTGAACATAACTCCCATTTCACTATGGTTTGTGGCAGATATAACGAACTAGTATTCATATGTATTCATGGGGTTTATAAACCAATAAGGAATCTATTTATATAATAGTGAAATCCCATTAAACCACCATTGAATCCCAATGAAAAATCACCATTAATAAACCCAATAAACTTAATTTACCATAATTCTGGGTAATTTATAACGACCTCACTGTTCTCCCTCACTATAATCATAGTTAGTAAGGGGAATCATCCCAAAATGGCCGCAAGATTCAGGTTAGTGAAATATTATAATTTACCCAGAAAAGTCTGTGATGCAATGTATATAGCACCAGAAATGAATTTGTTGAAAGGATGGACGTGGTTTCCATTTGATGAACAGATTGCCTCTCCACCCTGCAGAGTTGTGCAACAGGGATGACCAGTGCCCTGAAAACGTCAAAGCCATGTGGCGTTCAGCATTGAATTTGTGGCTTTTTTAGATTACCCTCTGAAAATTTAAGATAGCTGTTGAAAATGGTGATTTAGTTCGTGGATTTGCCCATTGAAAATGGTGAGGTTCCATAGTTTTTTGTATGTTTACCAGATGGTAACACAGTAAAATGATGTTTTGAGTTGTCATCCATCCATCCACATGTCCTCTATGATCGGCCATGAATTGGATGGTCATATGGTCATCCACCCAGAGTCATAGAGTCGGTGGTGACCCACAGGTACCCACAGGTTGGTGAAAAAAAAGTCCCCGTGAACGATAGATACCATCTGGTTATTTAACATAGCCATGGAAAGATCCACCATTTTTAATAGGTAAACCATCTATTTCTATGGGCCATTTTCCATGGCTATGTTAAATAACCAGAGGGTACATGATATATCTACTCTAAGGTTATTGGAGCTACAAACCAACTGAGGTAGCTGTGGGGGTCCCACCTTCTACGGGCTCATATACCCACAAAAGATCATATGCCGAAAATCGAAAATGCTACAAGTACCATGGCACTGCCATGGGCCATATGAGTGTGACTGAAAATAGGATTGTATCCAAAATTGGTGCTGTTAATTGATGATAAAACATCAGTTTTTGTTGATACCTTATTTTCAGACAAATCTATACAGGTGTGTCTAAAAATATCGGACTCCAAAAATTGCATGTTATGAAAATTCATGATTATTTTTTAATGGAGGTTCATCAAGTCTGGGTTGACATTACTGTTGGTTAAAGCTCCGTTTTTCGTGGCTTTTCCTCTTTTCCTCAAGGTCTCCAAGAACAAAAATGTGATGGTTTCAACATGTTTCAACTGTCGTATTATTAATTGAAACCATATTGAAACCATATGGTGTTGTGTTGTCTCAAAATATTTGACACCAATCAATTGCCATTACCATGCTGATTTTCAACAGAAGCATTGGGGTTTTTATTTGAGGTTCCAGAATTTTTGATGTCTATGGTTTATTCCAAACATGTAGATGTATTACCAATCATGGTAAAATGATAAAAGTTGAAAAACCTTTTTATCAAAGATCACCATATTGTCAACCACAGGAAAAAAAACAGGCATATACTAGTGATTATTGGACGTTTCAGGCTCAGCCGCCATCATCCCTAGCACCGTTTCGTGTTTCTGGCACCCCGCCCCGCGTATTTTCGGGGGGAACGCACTCAGTGCGAACACATACAAAGGCAAAAAACGGCAGCCCCTGCCATTGCAGGGAAAATGAGATAGGAATTCGTCAAATGTATATATATATGTATAATATATATATACATTATCATGTATCAATAGTACATATGATTCACTATCATGTATTATATACATAATAAGATGCCAAACATATTCACTTTCGTACACTATCATACATATAGAGTCGTGTATATATATATATATATATATATATTATGTAGACGTATATTTAGACCTACATATAGATGCATTTGGCATAGGTACAATCGTCAATGGTACAAGGTGTAGATGATCACTGTCGCATAAAAATCACAGGAGCGGCATGGGAATCATTGCCGGAATTTCAGGTGAGTGACGGTTATGACTTAATTTACCATAATTTACCCAGACATGGTTAGTGATGGTTCCTTTCATAGATCATCTCCGATTGGTGATTTTCCATAGCTACTTTCCGGTCATCAAATGTACCAATGTCAATGGGAGATCTTCAGGATCCAATTGATGGAAGTACGTTAGTACCATATTTTTGACCATATTTTATGGGGATATTCCCTTAGGCCTAAAGAATAGGCCAAAGATACCCTCTGGTAAACTAACATAACTATTGAAAATGGTCATTTATAGATATTTATAGTGGATTTACCCATAAAAATGGTGATTTTCCATGGTTATGTTAGTTTACCGGAGGGTATATGGAATCGGTATCTCCAATCAATCGGTTCCGCTTCGTCATGGCCAATGTTGACCAGAGAGGATGGCATGATGTGAGGCGAAAAACATCTCTCGGTTACTTGGGCGACTCTAAAAAATTTAGGGAATCCACTGACTGGGAGACTCTACAGTTTGGTAAGAGTAGTATAGTTGAGTTATAAAGCCCAACCCAAATCTATCGATTTATCCTGATTTATCTATCTTGAAACCATAGAAATGACCTGGACGCAACGTAAAAAACTCTACACAGGGTATCGCCAAAATATCTGTTTCCACATCCCGCAGCATCCAGACTAAATAGCCCCATGCCTTTGGATGCTGCTTCAGCTAGCGTATGCGTGGCTCAGAACACACACCACAGGTGCGTGCTGGTCATTGCAACGTGCGGCTCAGTTCATGATCAAAGCAGGTCATACACACTGGAAAACACTTCAACACTCTGGTTGGTTGATGATTACAAGGGATTATATTACCGAATATATTGGGAATATGTCATAATCCAATAGGGGAATCCCATTCTTAACCCAGTCATGTGCGAATCCATCTGAAGAAAGATTCAGAGTTTACCATCCAAGATTCAACAAGCCATGACGTTCCCAAGACATTAGAGATACTTTTGTTGGCACAAGAACATGAAGAGCACATGGTGAGCTTGATTCCAAGCCGCGTTTTTGGGGCATATCACATGGGTGAAACATTGGTGAATTTACCTCTGATGGCAGCAACCCATACCCTCTGGTAATTTAACATAGCTATGGAAAATCCATTATAAATGGAGGTTTTATTGGGGAAATCATCTGTAAATGGTCCATTTTCCATAGCTACGTTAAATTACCACAGGGTATGTGGTGTTTTTTTGTTCCATAGCAAAATCACGATCTTCTCATGGTGTTGTGGTCCCATGGTGGAAATCCACTTGGAATCTCGGCATTTTGCCATCGTAAAAAATGCCTTAGATGTTCCATGGCAGAAGAATTGCTGCTGGTGACTGGAACATGGCTTTTACTGGTTGGATGTATAAAAATAGATCATATTGGATATATAATATTGGATATATAATAGATAACCACCAACCAGATTATAATGGGATCCAACTATTACTGGTTCGTGGTTTGGAACATTGTTTTTCCATATATTCGGAATGTCATCATTCCAACTGACTTTCACTCCATCACTTTTCAGAGGGGTTGGTAGGTCAACCACCAAGCAGATGATGATTAACCATCATTAACCATCATCATTAACCATCATCATTATATAACCATATATTAACAGTATATATTCCATATCTTGGGGATAATAGTCCCAACTGACCATCATTAACCATATATTAACCATCATCATTAACCATGTTTTAAGTCCATTTTTCAGGATTGTGTTTTGAAACAGTGACACATCGAGTCATGAAGAGTCCAGATCAACCACTAGATCTGCTTTGCGTCAACACGTGCTAAAAAACGACGTTTGCGCGTGCAGGCCGTGTTTGACGCCGTGTTTGATCATCTTGAACTATCTGAGAGATGCGAAGTAAAAAGGCTCCGCCAGGATCGAAACTGTGATTTTTCTATGTATATATATACACATATATGTATATATAATTCTGAAGCTGAGCAATGTTTTGTTTCGCGAAGCATGACCACCAGTCGACCGTCTTGTTGAAATTCATTCGATCATCTCAAAGAACGGGGGGAATCTCTGTGGGTAAAACTGGCTGCCATAGACCAGCACATTTTTGATGTGGTAAATTATACTATAATGGGATATTATAATAGATATTCATATATAGATAATTACCACACAT